TATAATTCTGTCTTCTATCATTCCTCTTATAGTGACTAAATTGATGACACCACACGAGTCGTGACTGTTTTTAGATATTTTCCTGTAAATGTTATGTAATTTAACCGTAATAAGTTAGCACCTGTAATTAACTAGCACTTTGTATATTGTAAAAAAGCGCAAAGCTATTTTTATAATATTAAGTTTTCTATTTTAATTGTTACTGTCGTGATATGAGGTGAACGAAGTGATTTAAATACTAACAGTAATTATAATATACCACCTGTAACACTTTCGTTGACGAAATAATAAAATATATTCATTAAAACCTTGTTTTTTTTTTAATTTGCTCCGAAATTATGGAACCGGTTTTGAAAATTCTTTCATCTACGGGAAACTATATCGTACGCGAGTGACATAGGCTTTAATTATAATTAAGGCAGTCCAACCCCGATTTATGATTTGATCAAGGGAATGTGCAGCTATTTGCAGGCCCCCCAGGATAAAAAGCCCGGGGTGGACTGCCCCATCCGCCCCACTAAGTCCGCTACTTATTATATAGGGGCCGTCCATATATCACGTGGTTTTTTTTCAACAAAGAGGTTTAAGACTAATCCCCTCCCTCTCCATCAAAATCACTTGTATTTTATGAACACCTAGTCTAATTTTTGACGCTGCTTGTCGGTTTAGTAATCGAGAGTTTGACGAAAAAATAAATACACGTGATGTTATTACTACACCTCCCCTCCCCCCTTATGATATTTCGTAATTTTTGACGAACCGTCTCACCCCTTTTTGAACCTCACGTGATTTTTGGACGGCCCCATGGGGTAATTGACGCATTTTGAAAACTATTTTAAATGGTTGTTTGATACATTATAAACTGTCAATATTTTTCATGAGCATCTCTTCTATTTTCTATGAAAATAATTTTTAAAGTTTAAATAGCGAAAATGGCGCAAAAAACGCTGCCCTATGTGCGTTAATAGCGCACGTGGTATTCGTCACATACAGGTAAATATGTGTCATAATCATAACTTTTTAATCAATTATTTATTTACGTAGTAAACAAATTATATTAAAAAAGAGAAATTGAAGTCAAATTTTATGTTTTGTATTTGTACTCTGGTTTTGTTTATAAAAATAAGTTACGTAACGTTTACGTGTGACGTTACAGAACCTGTTACTGGTTGCCACGACAACCAATACAATACAAGGCGTTTTCGTCGGTCATTAAAATATGTACCTAAAAATGTTGTATTTTCTTTACATTATATTACTAAAGCTAAACATATTTAGTCTGCAGATTCTAAGAAATAAACTCTATTAGATTATTATCTAACAAGATGACCATAATACGTAACTTATTTTTAATCGTGTCAAATACCCTGTTTAATATCTAAAATAAATTAAAGATTTGAAAAGAAATGCATTTTATTGATTTTAGACATAGTAACTCAATGCTTTAAACGTACCCAAACAGTATCTAAGTAAAAATAAACATGTCCTTTTAAAAATCGAACCCGGGCAGTACGATTTCCGAACTGAGTTTTTTTTAAATGTTTGAATGCAATTTTTCATAGGACTAAAAGCGATTACATGGGTTCTAAGAAAGGATCGTCATTTCAAAATTCTAACCGTTCTTAATGTTACATCCTGTATATATTTTAGATAACAATATAGTAATCACCAAATGCTTAGACTTTTGAAACAGGTACATATGAAAGAAACTAAATTTTTCGTACGTGACACATTTAATAACAAATAGCGGAATAAAAATAATCTTATTAGAAATAATGACACAGACAAGGAACACTTACTACAGATCAATTTCAATTTTTTTTAATTTGCAAACCTCTGTCCACTGTTAAGTATGATTGAATAGTGATGCAACGTTAGCTACTTTAACGAATGCAAATAATCCCAAGGACATTATTAAAAAAAAATAAAAAACACATAATACCAACACTGTTCCTTACTAAATTATAAAATTACTTAAAAAAAATTTTGGTTTAAAAGGCACAATATTCGTAAAATAATTGATGAAGAAGACACATTCGATAAGAATAACGAACAATTTGTTTAGCATTATTAATTGATATAAGCAAAATTGTAAATATATTACTATTTTAACATCTGTTACAGGAACCATCCGAAAAAGACAAACTAGGTGCTTAGAATACATTCAACCGTGCACATTCAAACCATAATTTATGTTACGTTCAGATTTAAATTGTAAATTTTTAACATTAAGTCAAGCTATACAATACTTAGGTAAATGTCTAATATTCGACGAATACTTCATTCTTTTTTGTTGCATCACTAGTTTTAAGTAATAGGGTACATTAGGTAAAGTTCGGAACAGTGGGCAGCCCTAGTACGTACAGTAAACAAACAGGTACGACGCGATTATGTTAAATTCATATATTTTTCTGTTGTTATAATACTAACGTTTCTATAATACCTACTCTAAAACTTCAAATTTTAGATACAATCAACTGTACTTCAGAATTTCCCCACTCTATTTTTATCTTTATCTTAATATATTGACGATAGAAGTCAAAATCCATTGCAGAAATTCGACATTAAATATAAATTTTAATTTCAAGTAAAATTTTACAATAGGTATGACGACTAATTTTTGTTTGTTTGTCCGTCAAATTATTGAAGAATATTAAATACGTATTTTTTATTTTTTGCGTAATCAATAAATTACGGCGATATATCCAGTTGAAATGACGTCACGCTTTTGTACATTTTCTACACTCACTACAAAACATTTACTACACCCCCACTCCTCAACTTGATTGCCTGTTATCTAAGCCTTGTTTAAAGCTTTGTTGAAAAAGAAAAAAAAATACGTACCTCATATTTTACTATTATTTGACAGACGGACTAGGGATTTTTTTTTACAGTGTCGCCATCCCTATTCTCGTGCGTTTCGAAACTTGTTTACTGTTTGTGCTAGTGTTGCATTCTGGCAACAGAAACTTGCATTATTTCAAGTTTTCAAGATTTTTGCGTAGTGCAAAAAATATTGATTTATTAGTTCAACATTACTATGCAAGCCTTAAAACACAAAGTATGTTAAGACATGTAGGTCTTTGAGATAACAATTCCAAGACCACATTGTTTAATAGAAAAAGAAAAAAAAAACAATAAGATTCAAACCTAAAAAAATATTTTCATTAAGTTTTCATAAACACTACAATAGATCCACATGGGACTTACATCCACGCATAAAACATCTACAGAGGATTGACTATTACAAACCTTACATATTAAATAGATAATCAGCTATCAAATTTTTAAAACACTATTCTTAATTAATAATGATCTATATTAAAAATAATAATCATCCTTAACAATAATCGTCCATTTGGCATTGACAAAGACTTATTTATATATAGACAGAGCATGGAAGACCTACGACTGCCACTCAATGGAAATGTTATTCGGTTAGAAAGAGAGAGAAGATCGCGACGCCCTATATATTTATCTAATGATGCATGCGCATTCAAAGAGAACTGTAAACGAACCGTCGAATTATCGTACTATGCCCCCTCCGCACTAACTAGAGAGATAGAGATGTCGCGATTTTCCATCTCTTTCTAGTCGAGGCCTTCCCTGCTCTATTTATAATACCTCTGTTTGTAAACTTTGCCGGAATGATGCACCACAAAAATACATAATTTAAATGTTGTCTTATTTCAATAGGTCCTACTTCACTATAATTATTTGTAGCCCTCACGTAAGATACCATTTTGAGTGTAAGACATCACAATATAATATCCATACAAGTGTATACTATGAGCTAAGCTACATGCCGTGTAACCCACTCCAAGACACTAGTATGTATTCGCATACTCCATCAATAATTAAACATATATCCCTAGCAGACGCTTGTTAAGAATCCGAATCTTACATTATTATTCTGTACATAATTAATCAGTGAATGATTCTGGAATTTAATATATCAAAACACAAAAAAACACCTACATTTGGAACGCGTATTTGTTATTATATATTAAGTAAATATATCAATGTGGTTTAATAAAATTATATATTATTACAAATATGGCAGCCTAATAGCTGGTGAAGATTCTTAATTACAACCCTAGTCATATTTCCATACTAACTAATCAATCATTAGCCAGACCTTAACCGCCCAACTATAGAATAGAATCAATACATAATTCTCAACGATACTTACAATTAAAAAAAAAAAAAAAACGAAATATAACAATTAAGTATGCACAGATCATCAAATGCAGTATCTAAAACGTAAATATTACGATTTACAGTAACAAACACAATGTTAATATTTGTGCACTGATTACAATTTTTTCTTGTATATGCTGATGAAATGAAATCCAATTTTAGTTGCTTAAAGCACGGGTCATATTAGTTACGTTTCGAGTAGAAAGTATCCAAATGACATTCATTTCTTCCCAGAATGCAATTGTTTAGTAGAAGTGTGGAAACAAACAAAAAATATATCTTTTCTAATATACTACACATGATCACCAAAATAAAAAACTTAGTTTGTCCATTTTCTCACTAAAATATCTTAGATATTACCTATCTACATAATATAATCTGTAACCGACGAAAGAGCAGTATATATTTTTTTCATGTAAAAATATCTAATTCTGTATAAAACGTGCGCTAAATTCAGCTTTATTGCATTTAATGTAAATGTAATGACCATAATTGCAAATTAATTGTATAGGTCATAAGGAACTACCAGCTGAATAACTGAGTCTCTGCCCATACTGCGGTTAAACCAGAGTTTAAAACTAGCGGTTTGTAACCACAGCCACAGTCGACTGAAAAAGCCGCAATATATGCGGTTTTGAGTTTACAGCTACACCTAAACCATGTGTGTTTAATCGCAGCAGGGTCTCAGCCTAAGATAATGCAGCTTTTTATTAACAATATAACTACGCCCTTTCGCCATTTGGGTAAAAACAATGATTACTATCTCTATACTCATCCAACACATGATGGCTTCAGATCATGACCAAATAATTCTTGTAGAACTAAATATAAACAAGTAATGCCTTGACTTATCTATCACAGGGATGCAGAGCCAGCAAGATCAAGTTTCAAGAGCGTTATAAACTAAAAAAAAAAATTCATAACTCCCCATCATAATGTACGCTCATGCATAATTTTATTTAATCTATCGTAATCACCGGTATACTAACATCAATATCCATAGAATCGTCATCTATTAACGTTACAATATCTTTATCTTCGACGATATTTTTTGTATCAGCTATTTCTTTATCTTGGTAGAGTGATAATACATCCGATATTATCGGAGACGAGACCATAGAATGCAACTCCTTCTCGTCCTGGCTGAGTTCGGGCGGTTTAGACTGCTTCGGTCTTTTGTTACTACTTTTCTCGCGGGACGCTACAGGCGCAGGTTCGTCTTCCACTTCCTCGTCCTCGTCGTCGCTGCGTCCGTAATACTTTTCGTCATCTTTCAAATCCTTCGGTATGTAAGTGTTGATCAGTGCTAGCAGGTTTTCGTCGCAAACAAACACTTTAGACGGATCCGAATCGTCTTGGTCACATTTGTGCATCGAGAACACTTTCGCAGATGTAAAATATTTGTTACACTGTTGGCACTGGTTCTGCAGATGCGCCCGATAGTGGTTGTGCAGATTGGGGAACTCGTCTCCGCACACCACGCATCTCTCCGGCTTCACGATAGCCCGATAATGAACCTTCTTTGTCGATTTGTGCACGTATTTCATATGTTTTATGAAGGGACCGTATTTCACAAACTTCTCACCGCACTTCCTACATTTTATAGGCCTCTTGTTATATTTCCTGCTTCTATGCGAGAACGCGTGAATGTTAAACGCGTCCATAGTTTTGAATTTAAGATCGCAGAAACGGCACGATATCGCCCCGGATGTCTTGTGAATGTTATCGTGCAGTTTCTTCGAGTTGCTCCTGGTGACCGGCTTGAAGCAGAATCGGCACTCTTCGTAAGCGGGCGTACAACTGTTGCCGTTAGTCTGTAGGTTCTCGTCATCACTCTCAATGGCACAAAGATGATTATCGTAATCGTTTCTAGAGAAAAAGTATTCTGCGCATTTCTTGCATCTGTTCTCTTCGTGGTAATCCAAATGCCTGTGAAGGTTGAAAAAGGTTTTGTTGCATATGTGGCAAGTTTCCTCGATTGAATCTTTTGGCATGACGATCCACTCTTTGTCGTCGCCGTGAACGTCCCTCATGTGATAAATCATCTCTCTAAAAGCGACAAATGTTTCGTCGCAGTGTTCGCACTTAGTCGGATTGTCGACATTCAACTGTGAAAAGTGGTGATTCTTGTGCTTTCTATAAAGAGTGAGAGTGTTGAATTTCCTCTTGCAGTATATACAGCCATAATAACCGATAGTGCGGTGGTAAATTTTGTGAGACGTTAAAGCTTCCTCGTTTTCAAAAACTCTAAAACAGTAATCGCAGACAGTCTCCTTTTTATCGGAAGATACTTTCTTGAAATCTTTAATGTCGTGTTTAATTCGAAGATGGCAATCTAACTTCACCTGCAAATGAAAGGCTTTATAACAGATGTTGCATTTAATTTTTTTAGGATATATCTCAGTGTCTCCGATTAATTTCTTCTTATCACAGTGGAATGCCAAATGACCTTCCAAGAATCTTAGAGTGCTGAAGTAATCAAAACAATAATTGCATCTCAAAGTGTTGTGGTAATCGATGTGTCTCTCGTAATTGCCCTTACTGGCTAACACCTTTAAGCAGAGAGCACATTGCAATTCCTTAAGTGGACCTTCTAATGTTTGCTCGGTGCGCTCTGCTATCCAATTTTCTATGATATTGTGGACATCGCGCAAATGGTGATGCAAATCATATCCTTTTACAAAAGTCTCGTCACATTGCGTACACTTCAAAGGATTATCAGAGTAATTCCTTGTTAAATGAGCTTTAATATGTACATTGTGGTTTTTCATCGATATCGTGTTCTTCCCACAAAATTTGCATTTAAAGAATAGAGGTTTCCTAAGATGTGCTTCCTCGTGATTTTGTAGTCGCCTTTCGTCTAGGAACACTTTAGCGCACAATTTACACGAATAGTAGCTCGGCGGAGGAGCGTCTGGATCGGTTTTGATCATCTTGCTCTCAGGGTGAGTTCTTCTCAAGTGACGAATCAGTCTCACCAAGTCAGGGTAAAAACGGGTGCATATCGGACATTTGATTTTGTCCTTTCGCAACTTTTCTATTCTATCTTTATGCGACTGGTGATCGAAATTATGGCCTTTAACGTGTCTACGGAAATATTCCTCATCGATAAAGCCTTTGCCGCATATAGTGCATTTGAAGGGGCCGTTATCATCTTCGTAATGACTTCTCGTGTGAATCTCTAATCTTCTTTTATTCGTGAATACCAATCCACATATGTGGCATTCGTGTCTAGCTCCGTAAAGTGAAGACTTGGAGTTATGCCACCTAACGTGGCATTTCAGCGAATTTTCGGAGTCACACACCTTCCCACAGAGGTGACAGGTGTGGGTTCCATCGAAAACGGTTTTATCCACGGAGTTGGGAAGCGCATCGCCCACGATCGTGTTCTGCACACTTTCGCCACGTTTCAGATGTATCACCATATGCGACAAATAGACTTTTCGAAACTGGAACACCCGTTTGCAAATGGAGCATTGGTAGTCCTTGGTCTTGAAGCGGGTCTGCTTGTGGAAGTTCATGTGAGCCTGCGCGGCGCGGAGGTGTTTGCTCTTGCGGCCACAGATGGCGCACGTGAGGTGCTGCGGATCCAGGTTCGTGTCGCGGTAATGTTCGCGCATGTGCAGCTTGTAATGGCATTGGAACCGGAACGACTGAAAAAATAATGGTACAACATTAGCTACTATATACTATTTCGTCCCATATTTACAGTATCTACATAAGAGTTTATAATTACCTCTTTGCATACGAAACACTCGATCTTTTTTTCGATATTATTGCCAACGTTCGAGTGCCAGTTGACGTGTCTTTTGAGGGATATCAAGGTCGGCATTTTCTTCTGACATATCGGACAAGTGAAACCGCTCATGTTGACGAGCGGTGCCCCAGTGTTGCCCGGAACCTCACCAAAGTCGTTGTGACTCTGGAGCGCGTCCAGGGGTTCCGCTTTTGTCACAACGACTTCACAAAAATCCGCCAGCTCGGATCCACCCTCCAACATTTTTGGTGTTTTCGGTTTCGGTGGTTGCTTCAGCCGATGAACGAACTTTATGTGGTTAGCCAATGCGCTGCAGCTCTTGAATGTTTCTTCGCACAGTGCACAACTGTACAGGTTTCTCGGTTTCATGTTGACAGATATATGTTTTTGGTTGTGCTCATTTATAGCGCTCACTTTCATCTCTATATCGCAAATCAGACACCGCACGGAACAATCTTTCAAATTGATCTTAGCGCGTTTCGTTCCCGAACATTGGTTATGTTTAGTCCGTTTGTGTTGAATGAGTAAACGTTTGTAAGAAAACTGCTTCTCACATATGTCACAAGTGTTGTCGTCTCCTTCCTCTTGACTAGACTCTGTTTCTAATTCGGCTCGTGGACCGCTCGTTTCGCACAACAGACTGGTCTGACTCTTATCTGGAGGTTCAGTTTTGACGTCCGACTCCATATGCCTTTGTTCATGGGTCTCTAATGCTTTCTTGTACTTAAATCTCTTATCACACATGCGACATTTCAAAGGGCCTGAAGAAACATGCGAACTACTGTAGTCTGAGACGACCGATATTGAATCGTCAATCGTGCTGGCTCTGAAATGAAATATATCGATAAGCATATTTAGAACTAAACTATAGTACATCAACGGCGCACATATAAAAGATACCTGGATTCGTCGTCATTCACTAATTCGACATCTGCTGTATCGGGGTCCTCGGCGTGGGACATATGCTCAGCAAGATGGGCTATTAGCTGATCTTGCGTCGGTAACCGCTTGCTGCATACACGACATTCGAACGACCCCTGGGGCGACGACACCTCGAGCGAAGGATTTTTTTCCAAATTTTGATAAATAAAATGTATATTTCGTAGATGTAGAAAGTATGCACTCCTTTTATATGTTACTTTTGTGCAAGCTGGACATTCAAAAATAGCCATGTCGACCTTTTCCGGGCAAGCATTAAAATGGGCATTATGCGTGTTATAATCGTCAAACTCTTTCCGACAGTATAAGCAAGGAATTACCGTATTCCCATTTTGTGTGACCTGTTTTCCTTTGTTCTTCTTGGGAATCGCAGCGTGAACTACTCGCATGTGTTTCTCTAAATAATCAATGGTTTTGAATTTCGCCGTGCATATTTCGCAGTCTATTTTGTCTATCGTTTGGGGTTTCGCGTCTATTGGCTCTAATGATATGAGCAACTCTTTCTGTGGAGATACTTGAGGTGTGGTTCCGCATACATCATGATGTCTCTTCAACATAATCTTTAGCTTGAATGTCTTTCCACATTTTTCACAGCTCAACTTGTTATCATCATCTGTAGCATCTTTTGTAACGTCGTTTTTCTTTGGGATATTCACTACTTGGTTTTGAGCTAACTTTTCTTTTTTCGATGAATGAATCCTCTCGTGGTTCGAGAGACCTTTATAAGTGGTAAAAGCTTTACCACACTCCTTGCATTTATGTTCATTTTTAAGGAGCGGTTCATCAGAATCGGTTTCGCCACCGGAGAATTGAGAAAAACTGTGGTCATCGTAATCAGAGTCCACGAAAGAGTTATTGCTAGTATCGGCACGGCGACGTTTCTGCGACCTCCTGAGTTCCGAGACACGTTTGACGGCTGGTGCGTAGTCGTGCGAGCGACTACTGACCGAGGTATTATCTACGCTCTCACGACTTCGCTTTCGGCTCCGTTTGGCAGGTGTTGTGACGCCTTCAGTGGACGATGATGGTTTAGTCTGATTAGATATGTCTGTGTGAGTGGAGAAAGCCGAATCGCTGCTTTGTCTGTTGGGAGGTTGTGGAGTAGAGGTAAAACCTAAAACAAGATCATCGCAATAACTTAATATAATCTAATTCTAGCAAATTATGAACTAAAGCTGAGGCATGGGAATCTATCAGTGCTGTTAATAAACAACGATTAGCGTCCGAGTAAATTTACGCTTAAATTTCAATTTTAGTATTAGTACAAATACATATTATACAGAGAATAAGTAAACCTAGTACCTTCTAGGAGTAAATATTAGGGGGCGTCCATAAATTACGTGAGGTGTTTTTTCAAATTTTCTGACCCTCCCTCCCCCCCTGGTGAGATGTCGTGAGATTTTATTCAATCCCCTACCCCATCCCCAAATCTCACGTGAGATTTTTCAAAATGTGGGTTTCTTATTTAAACACGTTGGATTTTTTTAATAAAAAGAAAAAAAATCGCTTCGTATTTTTATTTACGACTAGTTAGTAATCAATATTGCTGAGAGCTACAAGTGTAATAAAGATTAAACAATAGTATACTTAATTCGTAATTACTGCGATTAAAAAAGGAATATATACTCTAATTCAGTCCATGGAGAATCATGCACGGTCTCGAAAGAGACTATTGGAACCAGCATGTCCATATGATTTTCAGTAAAATCATCTGCTCCTTCAACTTCGTTCTGATCCAGCCACTCTAAGCCGTTGGCACGCACAGTAATTCATTACCTCTTTTTGTGACAATCCGTGCGGGTCGTACTTTGCGCAATATACGCACTTGCTTAGCTGGTGCAATGTGGGCTGCACGCCTGTGCTCTGAAAACAGTAAAAGAAATGACCGCGCTAATATTGTATTTTGTAGATATGATTTTATCACATTTTATCAAGAATTTCACTGTTTCATTTTTTTATGCTATTAATTGTAATAATAAAGTTTATATAAAAGAAGTATTTTCTTAGAAAAATATATTTAACCTACCTTTTGAAGAAATGCTAAAGTAGACCGAACTTTTCTCTCAGTAGCTTCCCTGAGAAGCCGTTCAATCTCATGTTGAATGTGATGTATTAAATCTTCTTTCTTCGGGAATTTTTCCTTCGCTGTATTCCATAATTTTATCACATCGTTCTGACAGGACTTCTTCGTCTTATAGACGTATCTTTTGACGTATGCCTTATAAAAATCTTGATAACTCATTTTAACTTAGGCGCCTATTACACTACCCAATCTATCGGGCACGATATATCGGCCGCGATTTAGGGCGGTTGGTGTCGTTGTGATTACACTGCACTAGATCGCCTCCCTAATTCAGTTGGCATGCAAACGTGGCGTTGAAAGGATGGCTCCTTCGCTCACAAAGTACCGAAAAATTGGCATAGCCCATACTTTAACTGCGGGCGTAAATAATAAAACAAAATGTTGGGTGAAAAATATTTGCTTCTAAGAGACCAACTATGCAGTTTGAACTACTAGGTACAGAATGAGTTCTGCACAATTTGATCATATATTAAACTTAGTCATACCTTATATAGCGCAAAACAGCGGTTAGCTGTGCTGTAACCTTAAAATTTTTAGCAACGGGAAATGCATATCATGACTTAAAGTATAAATACTCAATAAGTTTATTATTTCCATAGGTAATTTAAAATAATATTACATAATTAAGTTAGTCTCACTATGGACCCTATCGGCCACAACAATAATATAAAGTTTATTATAGCAATAGTTTTAATTATCGTAATTTATATAAAATTTATAATTGTACCAGACACATGCAAAGGCTATCTAGAAATGTTTAAAACATTATATTTTCTTATATATATATATACCGCGTGTTACAAAAAAACCCGATACCCCGAAAATGGCATTGAGTATACATAAAACTGAGATAATGGACGCTGTCCTTTATATCGTAGCCATTGTATTTATTGAAAAAAACAATATCGAAGTTTAGCAAAATTTTCGATACCATTTATCGTAGCACACCGACATTATGATCAGCTGTTTCAGTTCATTGACTTCTAAATCAAAGACTATTATTTTGCCAGACTGGTTATATCTACTGGTATTTAGTGCCTACGTCACAGTACAGCGAAATAATTTATCTAGTTATGTGTACATACGCAAATATTCGAACATGCAAAATATTACACGAAAACATTATTTTAAAACTATTTCCAAAATTCGTTTTTATTCAGATTAGAGCTCCCGTTCCAATATACCTTGCCATATTACTATGCCCGTGCTACGCACATATCAGGCACGGAAACAAACAATAAACAGTACGCTATAGTCACTGCACTGGATTAAATACTTTCGCCTGAAATGCTTGTACAATATCTCTTTACGAACTGTAGACGGCCCATCCAAAATAATAATCTTTATAATTAATGCTACGACACGTCACTCAATAATGTACTCATAAAATCAATTTCATCTAATCTAAACAAATAGAGAAGCAGAGGAAGAAGAAATATCGCGACCTCTAGATAAGTAGAATATTCGTTATTGCACGAACAATTTTTTTCATAATTAGGTAGTTTCATTTTTATGAAAATAATTACAATATTATGAAAGTAGGCGACGTATATCACTGAGTGTCTTCCAGGTAACTTTGTCTATCTGTAGCTGCTTCATCTTTGAACCAGAATTTTTACACATCGTGTCTTTAAATCATGATAACCTGGTACTCGTACCTATAATCTTCTGTTACGAAAGTAAACCTAATATGACGTCAGCGCAGATACAGTCGGGGAATAAATTGAAACATTGATCAATATTCGTGTACATATTTCAATTGTGTTTATGGTCAATTTATTTCTTTTCTAATATTTTTACAATAAAAAGATCAGACTTAAAATGGAATATGAACCTTAATCGGGAATATGATCATTCCCGATTATGGTTTCAACCACTTACTCTTACTACATGTAAATTGTTTCAAGTAAAATGGATTGCTACCTTAGAGTTAATGATATGCACTACACTTAGGTATCTTAAAAGCGTCTGACAAGAAAAAATGTCGACAAAGAGCCGCTTTCTGAATTGAGAAAAGTACAAAATCTCAACTGAATATTCTCAATAACTGAAGTTTTTTTATATTTCACTAGTCAAAAGTCCTAGTTTTATCAAACTGCTAACAACTAATTATAAAAAAAAACCGGCCACGTGAGAGTTGGACTCGCGCAGGAAGGGTTGTATCCGGTGCTAAGAAATAACTTCATTAGCTAAACTCTTAAAAATATTTTTTATTGTTTAGGTATTTAAATACGTAAGACAAATCAATACATAATCGGTAAAATCGAGCCTAAAACAAATTCACTTATTCCCCCGAGTGTACAATGACGTAAGATAGAGATAGAGAGGGAGGGAAAGAGAGAGAGAGAGAAAGAAACGAAATATTATCGTTCGTGTTTGTGTGATGTCGCGCGCGAGTGACTACTTGACGCTAGATACGGTAGTAGTAAACATTTGGTACGGATTTTAATTTATTATCTATTTTATTACTGTGGGCTATTCAACTGAATTTTAGAATCAGAGTATAGGATTCACTATTTTAATGCTGTAAGAAATGAAAATGAATGAGACGTTTTATTATGTACTGTTTACCTATTTCCTTAAATAGAAAAAGCCCTAAAACGACCGACACAGCTAACAAACAAATGGTCATTTATTTGAAAAATAGTTCAAAATAGAAAAGGTGTATAAAATGAATTAAAATTTTAAACAGGTATGTCGATTGTATGCAGATTACTACGGCCCACGAAATACATTAATTTATTTATTTAACGATGTTTTATGATAGTCGATGCTACTTCCTCTCTACAGACTGAGCCAAGCATGCTCGTTTGCAGGTGCAGCGTGAAAGTATATCACATTTCTCACTTAAACTAGTCTTTACCAAACATTAACAACGTTTAAATTTGTAAATACTAAAAATACAACCATGTACTATCTTATCAACAACAATAAAAATTTACAAAATCTTTGTCAATTAACAATTCCTAATACCTAACGTTCATAATACGTAACGTATTATGTACTTACGTACGTATGTAAAAAAATTAGTTGCAACAATGTCCTGCGACGATTTTTTTAATTTGTACAATAAAATGTTGATCACCTCGGTACTAGGCAACTAGAAGTTTAGGCTCAAACTTTAACATTGCCGCCTGTCTAGGGTTGTCATCTATCCGTCTTTAGCGGGACATGTTTGACTTTTTAGATTGTGTGCAGCTAAATGTTAATGTCACATGTCCGGCGGTATAGTTTTCATAGGTTTTTGGTATACCTGTGCCGAAGCTATATCAAATAAACTATGAATACACACAAATTCGAAAAACGTCAAATACCCAAAAAGACGCAGTGTTGCACGGGCATTTGCGAAATTTGAATACAAATCGTTAATTTGTTTGCATCGTATAGTCTCCGAAATTACTTTATAAAAAAATCTTTTTGAAAATAGGTTGTGCAGTTTTGATGTTACGATCAAGCCTTATTTTATGAATTCACGTTTTGGCTGTGATAAAAGCGTTAAAATTATGATGTAGTTATCTTATCTTTAATTACCGCTTATTTGTATGTTACGTCTTACTACAAAATCAATTGAAAGTTAGTTAGATTTTTGCTTAACGCACCCTCTGAATAACTAGGCAGTAACCCTCGCGAAGCCGTGAACTAATATTACTGTCTACTACGGTAATATTGTTTTACAGCTTCGCGAGAGATTTGACTTAGTCCGGCTTTAAGGACAAAATTTCCGATCTAATAAGAGAAGATGGCAACCCTATCTCGCTACTTCTCAGATTTAATTGCGGAACTATAGGTACCTTTCTGTGCGCCTTTGACATGCCGCACACTATGCAGCGGCTTATAATAAAGGACTCAAATTGGCGGCTTTCCCTTTTTATCACTTTTTCTTTATTCAGTTGTTCATACGTCGTCGATGTGATCACGTTTCGAAAATGTCCGTGTTCTCTAATTCCGAGTTCTATGAAAAGTGCTTTTATCAGTGTTACATGGGATGCAGTGTTGTATTGATATAAATTGAGACTATTTTGAAAAGATGTAATTATACTGAAACGTCAGTGAACCAGAGGTTGGCCGCGATCTTTAGTTTTTTCTTGTGGAATAAAATTAAGTGCCTAATAAAGTGTAGGTGAGTGAACCTCACAAGTAATGCTTAAACAGTGAATAAGGAAGTGAAAAGGTAAAGTACAAATAGTAATTCGCAAATATTTATTTTTAAATACGCCAAAATCGTTTGTGAATTATGTCGCATATCATTTTTTTTATTATCGTAATATCAATCAGATTTGTCGGACCATTAAAGTATGAACTAAAAGTTAGACTCGTATATCAGTGTTTAAATAAATTTTACCTATCTATCATAAATAGGTACTACTTAAAATGGTGTTTGATCTGTAATTCAGAAACAGCTGAGTCGGAAACGATGCTATGAAATGATGTGCGCGTTGATAATAATATGTATTATAATTTTTTTTACTGAAATTAGACTACCGGCTGAACAGCGTCGGTTACCATACCATTTTGCCAATGATTTGATTCCTATTTAATTTCTTTTCATTTTATTTTCGATCGAAATAGGTTAAGTATTTACTGTGTAAACTGGCAAACGCAGACATGTTTTTAAGTATATTTTCTCTCTCATTCTTAGTGTGTATGTGTGGGTGTGTACTAGGAGAATAGAAAAAAAAAATTAGAAAACATAGGAGATAGGTAGTATGCCGTTACTCCTGGTAAGGTCATTAACCTAAAATAGTGATGTGACATAGCACACTCGATGTATTTATTAATTATTAAAAATTAGCCTTTTTACTGAAAGTTAAAAGTTAATGCAAAGGTTTTGAAAATTTGGCAGAGTAATGTTTATATGATATACTTCAACACCCTTCAGCTATAACGGGTATTTTTGTAACACCCGGTATATAAGAAAAAGTAATAATATTAAATTACACTTAATATTATTTCTTTTCCTTTTGAGAAGACATTTTTGTCTGTTCGCAAATTTCGTTGTCGTTCACTGACGTCTCACACGCACGCTGTGCAACAACCGACTGAGCGTTCTAACACCCTAACAGCGATCACATTACCCGATAAATCGGCCCTAACTCTCATCGGGCGATCGGGCGCCCACGTTCACCCGATATCGGGACCCTAACTCTCTAACTGCGATTAGACTACCCAATTTACAGTGTACCCGATGGATCGGGCCCGATAGATTGGGTAGTGTAATAGGCGCCTTAATAAGAGCATGCACTGAGTCGAGTAAAACATTTGTAAGAATAAACAAAGCAGGTTGGAACCTGTCCGTGTGTCGCTGCACTCAGCTCGTACGCTCTCATTTATCGAGTCACACGTTCAGCTGACAGTGGCGCGAAAACAAAGGACGGGCTACATTGTACCGTAAATTCAAATTAAATTGAGCTATTTGGTATAAAACGAGTTTTGGTTTGACAATCAGGAGTGATGTATAATGTCAAAGTACGAATGAAATTATTAGTGAATGATCTTAACCTTAGACTTGTCACTCTATGAGGGATTCCCCGCACCGAGCCTTATTTTAAAAATTGTGTGATATTTGCCGAGACCCCCCCTCTCTCCAACGTGAGATAAGATGAGATTTGACTCGACTCCCTCCCCCCCTTAAACATCTCACGTAATTTATGGACGCCCCCTTACTTACGTAGAACCTTGTTACTGGGTAAGTCTCTGTCTAATAATATGAATTTTGACTAATACTAAGTGCAGTCTCAGTGTAAAGTTACTCAAAAGCTAAACCTTGTTTATTAATAACTGTAAAAGAATAAGTTACCTGGTGGCGGTATATAGTTCCGCCGTAACTCCTGATCTGACCTCTCACACTGCTGTTTAAAGATGTAGGCGCTACTCAGCTTCTGTACACACTCGGAACATATTTTATCAGGCAGCCCATCTCCTTCGTATATCTGCAATAATAATAACAAACTTTCACACAAAACCCGTCGGGAGTTCGTCAGTCCTCAAAATTGCAAAGGTCGTTTACAAATTAGTTAACCCTATTTTGTATTACGATGATTAAAAACATGACCGTCAAATTTTCACCTGAAACCCAAAAAAAAGTTTACTGAATTTCTTAACCGTTTTTGTAGTTATTAAGAATTACTTATTTTATTTTATTAAGATCGTCAATCTGTGGCTTTAGAGCGAAAAGAAGGCATCCATGAATAATAATGTAAGTATATGAGTGATTCCAATACAAATTCCTTATCTTCTTCATTCCGTCTTTATATATCATCTAGTCGGTCAGACTCAAACGCTCAGAGTTACTTTTACATTAATAATAAAAGCAAGGATAGTAATGAAAAAAAGTACCCGAGGTATTTTACTTCGGTATATCAGTCCGATAATAGAAAAATATCAGATACATATTTTTTTTGCTTCAATTTAACAGAAAATAGCTGAGACAGTAATCATTAAGGTTGAAGAGTGGGATCTCGCTACGTCACATCTAGGTAGAAATAGCACAAAGGTGTGATGTGATGCGACATATCAACTTAATGCCTTCATTTATTGATCACGAAAAGTGTTTAATATTCTAAAAAATCCACTTGACGGACAAACAAAAAAAAATATACACCATCCCTATTACCTTATATGTCTAATTTATTATTATTCTGGTAGGGTTGACACTGAAGGATGAAATAAAACAACAGAAACAATTTTTTTTTTATTACGTCGGTTAGTACATAACGTGAAACATTGTTTTGTATAATGGAACTTTTAATTTGTTATCTATGTTCATTTTTTGCTATTTATTTAAACAATAGATACTAACATAAACTCTTTTTAAATTAACTAATGGAAAGGAATATTTACTATACAATTTTGCAAAGCTATATACGGTTTTGTTTTTCGTTATCAATATTTAAAAAAAAAGAATGTGTTTTAATTAACAATAAAAATCGGCACTTTGATACTTAATTGCTAATATCACGTTTTTCTCGCGTATTCCGTAAAAAGGGGTGAATAGATATTAAATATATTTTTTCTGAAACCATCTTATTTCGGTTATCTTACGAGGATAATAAACATTGAATGGAGACACCTCGAGTCTCGATAGGAACTCGAGTATTACTAAATAGGAATGCACAGAGGTTTACTAGGTACGGTAAGGGCGAGGCCACATTAGTGCGTTGCGTCGTCGCAGCATCATTTTCCATATATTTTTATGACATGCTCCGTTTGACCGTTGCGTTGTCGCACGACGTTTCATCGAATCGACGGACAAGAGACAAAACGGAAGGGAAGGTGATGCGCTGCGTTGTCGGAGCCTCGCTGCGACGAGGGATAGTGATGCACTACTAGAGAATGAGGCTAGACGACGGATCTGACGCACGACGTACGGCGTCGCAGCTGCGTCTGTTCCTTCTTGCGTTACGTTGTCGTGACGTCAAGCAACGCAAGTGTGAGATACTCACAATGCGTTTTTCACTAATACAAAAAGAGCACTTACGTAAAGTGTAATAATAGATATTTTGCATTAACAATGCTATACCTATTATTATTATTCTTACTTTTATATTAAAGAAAAAAACTTTAAAACAGAATGAACTTATGTTTCAGTGAACAATGCCTCGGATATACCTCTATAAAAAACCCAGTGAAGAGGCAATAAATATTGCACTTAATGAATATAACTCTTCATTAGCACATGTTAATTAAAGATATAATATTTCCGAAATCTGTTCAATATAGGCATGACAATAAAAAAGCTGAAAATTGAACTTCAAAACTGTTGGAAGAAAACAATTTAATAAAAATGAAAGAAAATATATAAACAAAGCTTTAACTTTAAAAAAAAATCTTGAATCACATAGAAATGTTAATACCAGTATCTTAAAAAAACAATTTGAAGTAATAGTAAAAAAATTTAACAGAAGAAAACTAAAACTAATGATTTAGAAAAAGAGCTCTTTCATGTTCCATATGAAGAAATTTCAGATACAAGTGAAATTGATATAGATAAAATTACTTTATTTTTTTAAGAAATAGAAATTAGCAAGACCTGTTCTATGAAAGAATAAGGAACTGAGTGAGGAAATGCAAAAACAATAGTCATACATGGCAGTGACAAAAAGGTGCCAAAGATATGAAATTGAAGATTATGCAAGAAAATATGGATAAAGAAAATACATACATACTAACATGATAAAAACAATAAGAGTAAATAAAATGAATATGAAAGATAAAATAATTGTAACATCAGTAGAAAATTTTAAAGGCACAGAAAGGATGAAGATTGATTTAACAAATTGTAAAGATTGAATTTAAATGATAAAGTTAAAAGCAACTCTATAGCAAGAAAGAACAAATACTATTTAAAAGTTAAAGTAATATTATGTGATCTCATGGAGAATGTGGAAATTTAGTTTCTGTGTTTTATTACTATTAGGGTTGTATGATTAAAATTTTATAAATAATTGTTTGGGTACATTGTGAAAGATAACACAGATCAACAAAAAATCTTCTTTTTTGTTGCCCGGGATATTTCTGCAGATTTATATATTTCAAGTACCCAGTTTGCAAATATGTTCATAAAAAATATTTCATTGGCTTTAGTTTTTTTTTTAAATTTGATTTTACATAAATTTAAAATTGATGGCCGGTTGACCATTAATGGGCCGGTTTGTGTAGATTTGAAGAGTGTGAACTTTTTACTTGGTTAGCAAAGTGGATACACCAAATAGCCTTGCTTTATTCGATTATTGGACAGCAGAGTAAAGCAAGTTCACTGGGAAATAAAATGTTTGGCCTTTGAAAGAATCCTTAGCTGTTGGTAAAACCAATGTAATAAATGAGCCAATGTTAAGTAGAGAAAAATCATACTCCTGCAAGTTACACATCAAGTTGGGTATGATAAAACAGTTTGTCAAAGCATTAGACAAGGAGAAGGTTTTAAATATATTTGTAAAATATTTCCTAAGCTGAGTATGGAAAAGTTATAACCTGTAATATTCGACGGTCCTCAAATATGAACATTGATAAAAGACAAAAATTTCACTCACTTCCAAAATTAAAACTGATGCTGAACGTGAAGCATGAGGTTTTGTGTTAGTAATAAAAAACTTTTTAGACTCCAAATTATATAGAAACTGTGCAACAGATGTTGGGTAGCTTCAAGAATTTAGGTGCAAATATGAGCTTAAAAATAAACTTTCTCCATATTCAACTGGATAGATTTGCTGACAATCTGGGAGATTACAGTGAAGAACAGGGAGAATGAATGAATGAATGAAATATGCTTTATTGTACACCAATACAGGACAAAACAATCGAATACAATTAAATGAAATGCACAATTGGCGGCCTTATTACTAAAAAGTAATTTCTTCCAGGCAACCTTTATGAATGCTTCCACCAAGACCTAAAAGTGATGGAAGAAAGGTATCAGGGTAGATGGCAGATTACTGCTGGTCCTTGAAAAGAGATTGTCCCCAAATTACCTATAGACAAAAAGCTTATAAAAGTTGTTTCTTTGAATTATAACTATAGTTTAAAAGATATTTTTCTCTTTTTATTTCTACACTACGTACATTAATTAAGAACTTAAACAAAAAATAGTGACACTTTGGTAATAAAAAAATATACTAACTGTTCCATTCTGTGTTTTATAGTCTAATAGGAAAATTCAAATAAAAAAAAAGAGCCAATATTCCAAAATCATTCACAGTTTTATAAATTGTATGCATAAAATTATTCAAAACCACTTTCACATTACGGTCAACAAAACCATTGTTGACCAGTGTAATTATTAATTTTTGTTTTGTTAATTAAATATAAGTGAATGTTTATTATTTGATTATTATGTTTCTTAGATGTTTTATGAAGAGATTTATTTATTTAAGTTATTAATGACAAGTATGAAATAATATTATTGAAATTAATGACAATGATGCCAACTTATCTCTGGAGAACAAGTAGATTTAAAAATCAGCCAAGTGCAACTCAGATTCGCGCAAGGGTTCCGTAGCATTAAAAATTAAAAAGAAAAAATAAACATTAGTTGTTTCCTGTGGTGTTGCACAAAATTTTTGAGTTTAATAAATTTGGCTGAATATTATTTATATTGGTAAGTCATAATAAGTTCATCAATCAGTATATGTATAATTAAGTTTTTTCCTTAATGAGTGTTCACGGCAAGTTTTTTTTTTATTATTTTATTATGCAAAAATGCTGTAGGTCCTCTTAGATACTTGTATTTTTAAAAGTATTAGTATGATTGGTAAAGGTGTAATAGAAGACTCACAAAAACATATATCAGTATATTCTCTATTCTCTGAATATCCCTCTATTTATATCCAGTTCTGAAACAACATATACATAAAATTCCTGATGCTGCCCATATTCTTTCATTTATTAGAGTAAACAAACAGTGCCAATTTCAAATACAGATAAAAGTAAAATTATAAACTAAATTTTAAAACACCACCAACAACAATTATTAGAATATACAATTAATAAAGTACATAATATGTTATTGCAACTGCTCCCAGAGTACACACAGCAGCAATTTTAACTAAACACCAAAAAAGCCAATTTTTCTATAAGCATTTCTTAATTAACTATCAATAGAAACTCTTTTGTCGTAACCTCATGGGCCATCAACTAAACACACAATAAAGTTTCCAGTAGTCATAGAAATATTACTGTTGATTCCAATTGGTTTTAATTAGTTTTATCAATGAGATTATATGAAATATGTGTACTAAGTTTCTACACCAACATGGTTAATTATTTTTATTCAGTTTTCCATTTTTAATCCAGTCAGCATTAATTTGCTGAGCTTGTGATCTGATTGTATTATGTGAGAACTTATGGCATGACATTTTAAAATTATGAACTAAACAGAAACTACTTTTATAAGCCTTAAAAATACATGTATTGTACCTATAAAAATTAATAAACATGAAGATTAGTATGCTAGTGGGTGGAGAATGTGCCATACAGTCAAGTGCAGACTTTGAGCCTGCATTCTAGTTAAAAAAATAGTATAGTTCCACTAAGTAAAATTTTATTGGAATAAAAGAAAAATTAACAAAAAACATTAAATTTATGTAAACACCTTTACACAAAGTTTAATCAAAATAAGGGTTGCAAAAATGACAGCAGTAATGCAAAATTTTGTTTCTTTTGTGATACAGTAAAAAGAATTCTAAGAAGGTAATGTAAATTTGAAATTATAAATGTAAATCTTTTTATAATTCACATTAATTTTTCTGTATTGTAAATTCTACAATGAATAAAGGTTTAATATATGAAATTGAGGTAATGTGCACACAACCTACTGCTAGAAATAAAAACAGATAAGCGTTCAGGTAAGTCCTTACAAATATCAAATCAGAAAAGTGATCATTGGTCTCTATCAGTGGTCTTTAATATTTATTGATTTGATCTAAAATTACCGAAACAATTAAGAACGAAGTTGATTATCAGACAAAACAGAGTATACATACCTTCACCCGGGCACAATCCATAACCATCTCTGCGAGTTGCACGGCATTGTCGACGGTGAAAATAGAATAAAAGTCGCCTAATTTCAAACAGAGCCTGCATTTTCCCAGTTTGAGGGCCATATTGATTTCTTCACAAACTTCATGGAACTCGTAATATTAACATCTGTGTAAACCGCAAAGTAACACATGCCATTAATGTTTACTAACAACCTTATAATATAATAAGATAAATATAAACTAATGCAATTACCAAAGGCTGGTTAAAACAATACCTTTATTTTATACCGGCGAAAAAGCCACTGACGATCGCTAATTCGCTATTAGGGATGTATGGTATGCAACGATATGTAGTATCTCGTTAGTCTGTGCAAAATATATAATAAAACATAAAACCTATTAAAATCGATATAATGTCGCTCAATTATATCGATATCAGTTTTGAAAGTAGTATTTTTCTTATAATAATTTGTGCTTAATTTCGTAATAATGTAATATTGCCAAAATCGCTGCTTAGCGAGTTACTCGTGTAAATAACATTGATAGTATTTTATGTTTACATACAAAATTGGTGATGGTGACACACTTGTCATAGCCAAAATCAATCATAACTGACTCGCAAAATATGTGTTAATTTGCAATGGACGTTATTTACGATAGACAGTTATTGATTATTATATATTCTCAGCGAGTCGGTTAGCAACGCCAAAAGAGAATTTTCAGTGGTCTGTTAATTATATTGTTTGAATATTTATCTTCATAAATACCCATAAAACATAAAACCGTTTAACTTTCAACATCCAAACCATCCAAGTTGACGTTGATATTTTGTATTCTGGTGAATAGAACACAGTACGCAACCCCCAAACAAGCATTGTACAGATGCCATCTTAAGAAGATGCTCATTACCCTCGCATGGATACCGGGACACTATGGTATTCCCGGGAACGATGTGATGCATCTGCTAAACAAGCTGTTATAACTAGCTCTTTAAAATATTCCAATCTTTTCCATCACGATCTCTTTGTGCTAGCACATTAACTAAAAATAGAGTGGAAAAGTATAATTTGGCATTCAGAAAAGTATCCCCAGTACACCGGAAAGTTTTTAAGGAAAAATATTTTTTAATTAGACTTGCCAAATTCAATATTAAAAACAACCCCCTCTGCGATTTTGGCATTGAGGAAAGAACTACGGATCATATTTTATTTAATTGTCCTAATTTATCCATCTCCTATCATGATTTACTTCCATCAAAAATTAGTTTTCCAACAAATATAAAATGTATCTTGAGTATGGAGAAACCCAGCCCATACTACATTTTATATAAATTCCTAGCAATCAATAATATTTTTAATTAAAAAAATATCTGTATTTTCTATAGAAATTATATTTGTATTATCTTTAACAATGTAGAGCCTTTTTTTATTGTTTTACCCAAAATCCAAATTGTCATATTTACATTTTTGTTTCTTTACGTGTAAAGACCACAAACGTGACATTGGCGGAATCGTGTAAACGCATATAGGCCATGAATTAAAAAGAAGAAGTTTAAACATTATTTTCTAAAATAATTTGTTAAAATTTTGTATTCAGAACAATGTATAGAATATCAGGTACAAATTTATTTGAACAGTGGTTAGAGGAAGATCACATAATTTCAGATTTTCGCATTATATCAAGAACTCTTGAAAATGTTAACTTTGATGTGCAGTGTGCTAAATTACTACAAGTAAATTGGTCATATAATATTTTTCAAATCAAGTATGATTTTTTCTTAACTGGGCATTGGAGTGGTAAAGGAAGCAAAGTACTTAAAGTAGAATTGCCACCAGAATATAACACTTGTGTATCTGAATCAAATGTGACTATGGTTGGCAATGACTACAACATAATATTTGTTGACAAAAAGAACAATATATTGTGGGTAATGGATTTGCAAAACAAAAATGCCCTTAAAAAAATTAATTTAAATACAGAATTACCTTTAGAAAATAGTTCTAAAAGATTGAGGCGTGACAGCCAAATTTTAAAAGTTGTCTTGACAAATAACTCATGCCTTTGTCTGACTACCGATGGAAAGGTATACAATGGTCTTTTACCTAGTCTTTTGGACACAAGTCACTGCATTGGCAAAGTTTGTGATGTCAGAAGTGGCTATGAGCACTTTATATTGCTTACCGATGCAGGCCGAGTGTATACATGGGGTAATGGAAGGTAAAATGAATTAATCACAATAATAAACTTGAAAAATAAAACTTCTTCAAAAAGCTTACAAATCCTATTGAATACTAAACTTGATAATAAAAAAATCTTCAAAAAATAATAAAGTTCTATTGAAGTTGAGCAAGGATTATGTGGCAGTTATTATTATTAACCGTCTGACTTCATAGAAGTTTCATCAATTACCTTTAAATACATGAAACATTTAAAAAAATATATCTTTATCTTATAAAACACTTTTTATTTACTTCTTCAATTCAAAACTAATAAGCCCATTTTGATGAAATTACACTGTTCCTTAAGTTGAAAGCTTATTTATCAATCAAACAAAAAATAGTCATTGTGGCCTTAACTCCAGTTACTTGAAAAAGGATACTAATGTTTGACTATTTTATTTCAGGAGATTACAATTGGGGCATGGTACTTTAGACAATTTAGATACTCCAACAGAAATTGAAGCTCTAGCTGGAATTAAAATTACGAAAATTAGGGCTGGAGGATGGCATTGCTTAGCTCTCAGTGAGTTTGGGGACTTGTATACTTGGGGATGGAATGACACTGGCCAGCTAGGTGTAACACATCCAGACACCAAAGGAGTTTTAAACCGAGAAGGTCTGAAAAGTTATCCCCTTCCAACATTGGTTGATATCTTAGATGGAAATGAAAAACAAATTGATCTAGATGTAAAAGATATTGGATGTGGTTCAAGACATACAGCCATAATGCTTGAAGATAATTCAATATGGACTACAGGCTATAATAAATATGGCCAGTTGGGATTTTCACCAGAGAACTATCCTACAGTAAGCTATTTTAAAAAGACATTTCAGTGTGACAGTAGTTCAGTTATCGAATGTGGAAATTGGTCAACTGTTCTAATTAATATGAATAGTGCAATATAATATTTTTATTATACATAATGTGTATAAAATACCTTTATAATATTATATCATTGTAATCTATATATTGTGCATTTGTAAATTGAAACCTAAACATATTAACCAAATACCTACATAATTCTTTTGTAAGATTATGATCTACAAAATATCTTGGTACTTGTGAAGTAACAGGCTTGTTTTGAATTTTGCATTGTTGGTCACTGATAGGTATTGAGTAGTTCCCAGGTCGATGGCATGTTAAGGTCAGTACCCCTCAGTATATAAAAAAATATAAAAAGAAGTATTGAGTAGTTGCAGTGGCAGATTTGGGGTCAACTACTAGCCAAGATCCTCCTCTGCGCTTCACCATTTGCAGAGGTGAAAGCAAATGTAGACTGAAACAAAGAGGGTATTAACGACTGCTAATGCAGCCGGGACCAACAGCTTAACGTGCCTTCCGAAGCTCGGAGTAGCTCGAGATAATAATTTTTTGTCACCCATCCCGTGACCGACCCTATCGAAAGTTGCTTAACGACAACGATCGCGGGTCGCGGCACTTATCCACTACGCCACCGAGCTACTCGCGAGCTATTTTTGTAGTAAGTAACTATATTTTCCCTACTTTTTCAAGTTTTTGAAGTGTAGTATTTTTCAAAATAGTTAAATAAAATTTATAAGTGAAAATGGTTTATATTTTCCGATCATATAACAGAAATCTGTATTTTCACTTGTTAATAAATGAATAGGACAAGCCTATTAATGGTTTTCTGACTTCCTTTATCACGAAAACATAGTCTGCAATTTTCAAGTATAAACATAGTCTGTATGCATGACAGTCTTGCGCTGATTCCTCTTTGATTGTTGATGTCAAGAGTACTATCCGCAATAGGGATGATGACTAATTTTGTTTGTTTGTCCGTCAGGTAGAGTGTTAAAAAATATTAAACACGTATTTTTTTATTCTTCTCGTAATCATAAAATTACGGCGTTACATGGAGTTGAAATTCCGCATGACGTCACGTTAGGGCACGTTTTCTACTCAACCGTGACGTAGCGAGCCCCCACCCCTCAACTTTAATGCCTGTTATCTAAGCTATTTCTTGTTAAATTGAAGTAAAAAAAATACGTATCTAATATTTTTCTATTATCTGACTGACGGACTAAATAGAATTGCATTTTTTTTACCCAGTCATCATCCCTATTCCTTACTCCATTGATTAGAACGATTACATCGTGCGGTAATTGCAATTAGCCCAGGGGCTAGAGGACGGTCTGCATATTCCCAGTTCTATCATGCGTTCGAACTCTTGTATGGTAGTTTTATACTTCGCTGGGTTCAGAGGTCGAGCTTTTTCGGTTGTTAAACACAGGTTTTGTATGCGAGAACCATGACATTAGCTCCGGTTTCTATTAAAAAACGCGTGCTGGTTTTAAAGTCCGTGGCGTTGAGGCGACATGTACGAGTATAGTCGACACCCACGCTCGCCACCGTTGATGCTGTTTTTAGCATTTATCGTCGCTGCACTTGTAAGCGGCGGCAAGTATGTAATGATAGTAACACTTGAAGTTACTGTACCCCTTTATATAATTATGTTTGTTGTCGATATTTTTCTTGATTGCTAAGGTAACGTGAGCGCGAGCGACATGCTGACCTTGCGCTGTAGTGTTGGGTGGTTATCATTACCTCGCTGCGGATTTAGGCACATCTCACGCGTCTCATCACGATGTTTGCTTTCTAAATTTTTTACTTCTAATTGTTGCTAGATTGTTTTCGAATTGTTGGACCTATTTATGTTATACATTTCAGATGGACTGCTGTTTCCATGATTTTGACTGCTAATCGTTGCGTAATTATTGCACGCTGTAATGACGGCGCGTACCGTTTCAGGGAAAGTTTATTGTCACCTAATTCTCTTTCTGTCAAATAATTTGTAGCTGTTTTGTTTCCGACTCTTCATAAATGGAAATGAGCCGTGATTGGGTTTCGTATTTGTTACATTCCGGCGGGTTCTTGAGAACGTCATTTATTTGTCCTACCTCATCCCTACCGACCTTAACTATAACTAATTCATATTTATGAAGGCCACCTGCAATTTGTGGACTCATTATCGCCTCAGATTGATGAAACGGCCTCGGGTGTAGTCCAGAACTCCGAATATCCTGGACCCGATCTTGATGGTGCTGGTATTAGGTTGGGCGGTCATCTGGCAGTAATTAAACTGTTGCGGAGCGCACTTTGAAGTCACTTTGATTTATCATTATTATTGGGAGGACACCATACAAAGTTTTTGCCCCGGTTGATAAAAATGTAGTTCCAAGCCTGCATAGGCGCGGTGAACGAGATCGGAATCAAAGATGAAACTGGAGCGTAAAGCTCATGCCACTTTTGGAATGTTTCGAGGTTAACGTGATTATTTTTTCTTTCTTTTAATAATTTTGGTGGTCAGTTGATTTGATCAGTATCCGAAGTTGTAAAGGTTTGCTAGCATTTATATTTCTATTATGTAGAAAGAATTTATCTGTAAGGATCAACTGGTATTATCGTTTACAGTGCAATATTTGTTATTTTTAAAAGCTAGTCTTGTAGCCAACGAAGCCAACCGGATTCGCCTCTTACCACAGACATACAAAGTGCCTCTTTATTTTTACGATTATTTTTTATTCAGTAATCACAAATTTAAATTTGAGAACTAAACTAAATAATAAAACAAGCATTTTTAACGAGCAATTTTTATATAAACGAAGTCTATAAATTATTGAGGTTTAGATTATAGCATTAATAAATCTAAGTTTGGTATGATTTGCCTTGTGTAAAATAACGGGAATTCGTCGGCCAGATAGCAAACAGATAGATATAGGTCTCACCTCATTATCACTGTATTATGGAATTTATTTAATTAAATTTTGCATGGGATAGATAAAACAATATTATGACATCAAAAATAATTTATTTATTTCAGATTTAGATTTACAATTTTCAACATTTAAAATATCACATTAAATTTCTACCACATAAACACACTGTCAAATACTTGCCGTGTTAGCATTTAATATATATATAATAAATATATATATGTATTACTTAGGTAGGTATATTACGATTCGAAGAGTCGAAGCAACCAAACCACATACGACCACCAATGCGATAGAATGATCAAATAAAGTCAACAGTTGGAAACACTACACATCAACCGAGAAAAATGAACTAGTTCATTCTAGTTCATTTTTCTCGAAATTTTTTCATTTTTTTCGTTCATTTTTCATGAAACTATGAGAAGGGTTACATAAGCCACTAATGATGATGCTGCCTTATAATAACCACGACCGCTCTGTAAAGAACGAGACGATCGGGAAGAAGTCCCTTAGTCTGGCTGTTTATTTAATTACGCGTTCCAAATCAACATCCTGGGTGTAGTTTTAGTTTTTACCCCGAATACAAAGGGATATTAATTTTATAACATTAAAATCGTGATAGCTGTCTGCTAAATGAATATCGTTGAATTATTTAATGTAATGTGTAATTTATGACAGATGTTAAATTAACACTTTGGTAGCTTCAAACAATATGCCTATTTTGACTGTATATTTATAAATTAATTCGGTAATAAAACCACAAAAGTGTACCGCGAAAACAATCAGTCACATTTCAATAAATGGGGTTGTACTGCCTATCTTTCTTATGGCCAGATTTGTAGTTTTAGAGGGTGGGGGGAGGTTAAACGCAATGTCAAGTTTCTGCCTCGGTTGATTTCTGATGCCGCCCGGGCCCCCCACAAGGTTAGCCGGACACCGCATTTCAGTTTCCAGCCAACGTTTCGGTTCTTGTAATCCAAAGATTATAAATAGAAAGTTAAATTTAAAAAAAAATTAAATACTTATACATTTTTTTGAACAAAAAATGATACCGACTTACGTAGCTATTGTTTACATATAATTTACAATTTTGAAGTTATTTCATAATTTATTGTTAATAATATCAAGTGGTTTTCTATGCGAGCTGAGAATCAAAATTGTAACACAGTCGGAGAATACGGCTATGATAACTCAAACAGCGGAAGTCATTATTATTATAATATCATAGTTTCAATACATACAATACTAATTTATACATTAGTGTGAACTGAGCTTACTACTTAATGTATAAACAGCATAATAGAATATGAAAAACAATTTCAATAGATATAATGATTATAACAGTTTTCACGAACAAACAATATCTCATTTACGTTTACATAAATTTAATAGTATTGTATATATAAAAGTAACATTAAAAGATAACGAAGTTATTTCATATTCTAGAGATCATTTACAACAGTCTTATTATTTTACTTTTGGTGAGTATAATCTAATAGTATTCTATTTGCATGTGATTAAAAACTGTATTATTTTAAAACAACAATTCGAACAATAAAACGAAAAGACAACAATTAAGCATTTTTAATGAGCGTACATTTTTTGTGACTATTTCAATAAATATATTTTCAGGTCTTTAAAGATGATTCTTATCGTTATCGTTACACGTACATGTATAAGATTCAAATTAGTTAAATTAATTCAGTTTTCCATCAATTCAGACAAAACATATGAGTAGGAATTCACTTATGCACAGATGCGAGGTGTTTTGTCACGAATGGGTTGATGTAGGCAGACCATACTAGAATTTGCTTCCTTTTATAATATTGTTTGACCCTAAGCATTGGTCTAGTTTTCTGAAAGCATATATAGCTTTGGTAATTAGTGAAAAAAAGTCAAGAAATTCCATAAAAACAAACACTTACATTACTTATTAGATTAAAAGTTGGATACTTTTGTCTGTGTATCACGTGACCAGTAACACAAGCCGCCATGGAGCCGACTATTTTATTTTTTATCAGATCCTTTAGCGATGTTCTTACCTAATTTATTTATATATTTTTGGTTTGTGGCAGGATCTTGTCCAATTGGCCTAATAAATAATATACTATACGTCCGTTTTGTGTGTATAACGAAATAACGTTACAGTTATGGGGACAGCGTTTTCGCAGGTATAAAAAAAATAATTTTGATTTAATTGTAAAGCAAGAAAACGTATTTATTTTATTAAAATAAACTCTTACAAGTACTTTTTTAGTTTAAATATATGACCACTGAAAACTGTGACCAGCTTAGTTTGTTCCTTAGATATTATCTAAAATTTGTTCGCATAATCTCTATCCAATAAACGATTAAATATTAACATCTAAAATATAACATTAACAGTAATGAGATTAGTTCATTTAAATCACCCTAAACCCTGTCGTGCTTAAAAAATAAACTTAAAGTTGGAAGAATTATAAATAGCAGGCTCAGCCTTAGACCGAGACTGCACTACAAGTCTACAATTAAATGAATTCTGAAACAGCCGTTTGTAACATACAACTTTCTAACACGCTCACGCATTCACGTACGACACATTATATCATCTATGAAAACACAAGATTGCGTATCCGTTCTTATGATGTTTGTTAACATAAAATTCTAAAAATAAATAAAAATATTCAAGTTTTTGAAGTAAGAAATTTGTTATATTTTTTAAAGAATAAACTTTTTGTCATGGATAAGTTCTCATATATTTTCCATAATAAATACTGTGATCTATGAAGTGCTAAAAGATAAACTTCAGTGCTATAAAACTTGAATAGCATATATTTTATTTTGTGGTGCATTTAAAATTTATATCCTCTATAAGAACTATTGATTTAAATGTCTTTCGTGCTGTTATTATAATTGCACTCCTATAGCACAATTTCGAACTTTTGTTTGTATACAACCTACCGAAGTCCGGCACATGTAAAAGAATATTATCATTTGGTTGCTCCTGTACTGACAATATACACTTAACAATGACCTTTTAAGGGGACATTTAAGTAGTAGGTTCATTCCCAAGCATTAATTTGAAAGATCCATCTGGGTCAGTGCATCGTAAAATACTCAACGAATTTCCCGCCGTCAGTGGAGTCTTTGGATGAATTAAGTATAATGTCCCATCCATGAAGCAACCAGGTCTTTTTGTTGATAGACCTTCTACTCCCTCCATCACTTCTATGCTGTACCAGCACATGATAGCATTTGCAGGACCATCCTTTATAACTGGTAAAGTCACGACTTGTAACATAGTGTCACTGCAAATTGACCCCATACATAAGGCATCAGTAACAGCAGTATATTCCAACAGTGAAAAATCGATATTAAAATTTTGTGTTACTTCATACTTATTAATATATTCAGCAACTTTATAGTTTTTGACATTCTCATCATAAACTCTGTTGTTAACATCTAGCCAATTGCTATTAATAACTTGAATCATTAGGTTTATTTTAGCAGGTATAATCAAACTTCCTCTGAAAATATGATTGTGGGTGATATCATTGAGTATATCTCTAAGACGTGAGTCTATATCACCACATATTTCCAATATGTTATAATATACTGCATGGAATCTTTGGTGTCGGAATACTTCAGATCCCCAACCATCTCCAACCAAAATATGGATTTTAGACAATGGTAGATTGTGTGCTTTGAATACTTCCTTAAAGAACTTCTTATCATAGTCTGTTTTTGCATAACAAAAGAGAGATTGTATACCACGCTTTAACATAAGTAATCCAAATATAGGAAAGGGGGACAAGTCCACAATATTGGTCTGAGTCATCTCAGTCATTTGACCCAAATAGACACTAGCCATCCCTATGCACCCTGCTATCATTTTTACATTTTCCATATCATTCAGAAACCTCATTGTTTCTTGTGAGATCCTTAAGATGGGAGTAGTATAATCACTCTCCATTGTTAATTTTCCTCCATTTATCAAAAATTCTAAATCTATAATACTATTTTTCTTGACAGTTTTTGGTATATTATCATAAAAAACAGCTTGCTGCCAAGCACTGGCTTTTGTTTTAGATCTTGGATCTGTTGTCAAAGTTATATGTTTGGTTAAGTATAAATTGAACCATCCAATAAAAAAGTGTATTTCTCCATCTTCTGTAGTTGTCAACTGAACAGAGTATGGTTCAGACCGACTTAGCATTTCCTGAATGTCAAGATAATCATTGAAGTCTATTTTAAATAGAGACTGAGGTTCTGACATATATTTTAAATCTTTTAATAAGTCAACATCTTCACAATCATAAGACTCATCATCTGTTAGAAGATGTGCATCAAGTGTGATTTCTAACCACTTCTTTACTTCTGAGCTTAAGTGATATTTTTTATTAAGATATTCAGATTTGGCTGCTATTACAAAAAATTCAGCTTTGTTGGGTATTATCTGAGAAGTAGGAATGGCAAAGTATTCCCATGCATGAGCCAATGTTTGCAATACATGTTCACCAAGTAAACCAGCATCAAACATTTCTGTCACTATTATAGATCTTTTTCCACCTATGTCCCTATAATTCAGTGTAGTTGACATCTTATTGACAATAACTATATCATGTTTGTTATTGCCTTGGGTTACACACTCTGCCAACCAAGCAATATTTTCCGAAGCTTCAATACCAGTCACTACAGTAGCCGAGCAATCAGTAGCAAACATTGCCAATATTCCTGTGCCTGTGCCTATATCTAAAACACTATCTTTGAAGCGAATCACAGTTTCACTTATGGCATTATAATAAGCTTCATTGCGCACCTTATCATTCAACATTCTGAAATGCCATCTTTCAAGCAGAAGATTTTTTATTGAGTTTATGTTTTTTTCTGCATTAACTGAGCTTGAATTCAAATTTAAAGATCTTTGAAAATGGGCCCAAGCTTCTGTATAAAAGCCAAATTTATAAAGGTACTTTCCAATGTCATTAACCAGGTTAGCATTGGTAGGATACACATCAAGAGCTTTACCAAAATTAGCAAATATATCCTCCATTTTACTGGCATTTGCAAGTACTTCATTATGTCTCGAAAGAGTATTACGAAATTCAACTTCTAGTTCATCTTTGATGTCTGGATTTTTTTTTAATGCCACAATATAAGAATTAAAAGCATTTCCGTAATTACCGGATTCATTTAATTGCCTCGCTAAATTTATGTAATGTTGAGCTTCTTCCATTTTTGATATTGATAAAGTGATTTTAAAATATTTTACTCACAACGAAAATCTGGTATATTCGGAGATTCACTAAAGGCAAACACAACGAAGACGAAAAGTTGGTAAAATAGACAGTATCATCGACAAATCAATAGATAGATAGGTAAGTTTTTACACTGAACAGATTTACAGTTCCTAGCAAGCCCTTGTAGAGTGTAATCAATAGGAATCCTATATGTACATCATATAATGAACTAGTGCTAGTAAAATAAATCAATACATCATCGGTTCCTCTTGCAAGAATTATTAATTTACATCACAGGCGCGAAAAAAGAAACAGCTTGACACAGACAGAACCTCGACCAGTGTTGCCATGTCATGTCTATTATAGTATAGTAGTATCTAAGAAAAGAGTAGTATTAGGGCGCTTGTGCACTACACTGAATTTTCATGTCCGGCGGTCCGATTTTTTCAGGTCCGATATGTCAGGCCATATGTAGGTAATGCGCGCTTGTGCACTGTCAGGAATTTTACCGCCCGGAATTTTACTTCTCTCTATTCCGGACCGGTTTTTTCAGGTCCGTGATGGCGGCAATGAAAAACGTGTTTACGCTTGTGCACTGCTGTGTCCGAGATCCGGAAAATTCATAAGGAATAGGCTTGGGAAAAAATAATCGATTTGAATCGATATTTATTTCGGCGATATTGTTAATTTCCAATAAACTTATAATCGATATTTTATATTTATTGTTGATTATAAAATGCTATATTTTATATGATGATTTAATATAGTTGGTAAACTCGGTATAGTTCTAATTTGATCACGACCTCCGTAGCCGAGTGGTTCGCACGCCGGTTTCAAGGTGTCGCCATCTCTGAGGTCCCGGGTTCGATTCCCGGTCGGTAGAAAATAAACTTTTCTATATTGACTCGGGTCTGGGTGTTGTGATACCTTCGTTGTCTCAGATACTCCATAATACGGGGGCTTTAGCTACTCATCTTGGAATCTGAGCAATGTATGTGATGTTGTTAAATATTTAAAAATGTTGATCAGCGTATGGTTCTAGTATCGATACTTAGCTAGATTTTAGAATCGTATTAAACGTATCGATAGCTTAAGGTAAGATAAATAAGTGTTGTTACGCTTAGACGCCTAAACAACTGAACCCCTCTAAATGGAAATTAATATAGTAAATAGACTTAACTTTAAGAATGACATAGGCTACATTTTATCGTGAAAAATAGGGGATGAAAGTTTGCCTGGAAATTTCTCATTATCAAATTTTTTTTAGACAATTGATAAGTATACATAAATATTTGACAACAGAAGTAATAATAAAGAATAAACAGAAGATTAACAAAAGTAATTAAGTGACACTCAATGTCTTTTTCGCATTTAATAAAATTTTAAATGTATGTTTGTGTCACTAATAAAAGAAGTATTCTAAGAGAATAATATTTCTGCTCAAAGAAACTACACCACGCGTATAAAATTATGCCTATATATAATACAGTCAACTGATTTCGTAAAGTTCATTTAGCATAATAATTCTCCGCTAACACGGCACTAATTTCGATTTGTTTACGAAATGGCGCCACCGATTGGTCTATCTCTGTAATAGCTGAAAGTTGTTTTTACAAAACTTCGAAAAAAATAGCACGTTTAAAAATATAATTATCAAGTACTAGACCATTATCAGTAATTTTATTCTAATGTCACAGTTATTTTTAGCTATTGTATGTGAATAATGCTGTTCCTAAATTAGTAAGGGTATAAGTTTTTACATCTGATAGTAGTCATCCGATAGTAGTAAAAAAAATGCTTTTGTCTTGCCATAATTTATTATGGTTTATGTAAAACGATCAGATCATTATTTAGGTACCTTTCTACGTCTTCGAACGGAATTACCGACGTTCCAAAAATCTCATCGTACCTAGCGCAAGTGACGTGTAGCTTCAAAGAGAGCTGCCCTACACTGCGCCGCTCCGATCAGGAAAAAAACGGACAAGTGCACAAGCTACTCATCCGAGTTTTTCATGTCATTCCGGACCCGAAAAAATCGGACCGCCGGACCTGAAAATTCAGTGTAGTGCACAAGCGCCCTTATAATTAGTAGTACAATCAATATCATTGACACTAAGATATGCACGATTGAATGTACTTACACTTCGATCAACAATACAAAAATGTACATAATATATTTACTTTTACTCTTTGAAAAAATACGGTAGATTCTTACAAAATTACGGTAGACGGTATTGGAAAAATACGTCATTGTTGTGTTGACGAAAAGCAAATTGGTGTTGCCGTGCCATATAACGGGTGGAACAAAAGTCATAATGAAAGGTACCTACATTGGGGGTCATCAATAATGAGGAAGTATTTTAAAAAAATACGTTCTTGATTTCTTCATGACAATCTTTTTCGGTTTTCTTTCAAGTAAATTAGATTTCAAAACTCAATAAACAACTCATAATCTATTTGTACTTTTTGGTATTTGTATTGATATCTAAGGTTCGAACTTTTAAAATTTCAGTTTTTTTAATAATACGTTAGTTAAACGGAATGGTAATAAATGTCTTTGGTCCATTCGTTTCCTGCAAAATCAACATTTGCTAGGGTCGCCATCTAGTTTTTTTATTTTTTATTAAAGACTTCCTCATTACAACTTTTGTTCTAGAATAAACCTGGGAAACCATGGTTCACGGAGTTATTGTGTGTAACATATTAGGTAATAACACTAACGGTTAGTTGCACAAACGTCCATAATGGTTTAATGTCATCTTTCAGCTCTAATGTATGTCAAATTTGTATATCTAATGTCGCTTTAATTGCACAAACGTCCATTAAAATTGCCATCAGTTCTTCTTCTTATTAAAAAAGAAGAAGAAGAACTGATGGCAATTTTAATGGACGTTTGTGCAATTGGCCGTAAATTGCATAAAGGTTCTTTATGCTTTAATGACGATTTCAAGCTCGATTGATATTTTAATATAGCAGTGGCGGAAATTGAACGGTACCTACGGACCTCACGCATGGCCTGCACGATCGCCTGATCTTACACCACTCGATTTCTTTCTGTGGGGTTATTTTGAAGACAGGGTTTTCGACCGTGCTTGCGAAAGTGCCGATGAAATACGCCCTCACTCGCAGTATTTGAGGACCTTTTACAGCGGGTTGTGCGAGTGAATTCTGGAGCGTGTACATCAGGATATCTTGTACCGTGCTCGCATGTCTCCATGTAGAAGGTCGCTCATTTAAAAAGGCCATTGGGTGATATTGACGAACAATAGGTAAGGCGGTATTTACATAGACGGTTGACAGCGTTATCACATACTGTCGTTTATACACCTTTGTTGTGCGAGCGGATGGTGAGCGGCCTGCGCGTCAAAAAGCGTCGGTGTTTCAAAATAAAACAAATATGTCCATTATACAGAGTTTATTGACAAGCACACAACGAGATAAGACACATCAGCCGCCATATAGGTATCCAACCCGGCGGCGTTGATGGCCCACGTCTCAGTGGGTGTTTTAAGACACGAGGATTTAGTCGAAGAGACCGAAACCCATGTCGTCGTCACTCTCAGACTCCTCCTTCTCCTCTTTCTTCTCTTCAACCTTCTTGTCGGCGGCCGGAGCAGCAGCGACAGGGGCAGCGGCAACGGCAACGAACTTCGATGGGTCCTAAACAAAAAATACTTTTGATGAAACTACTAAACAGTGTGACAAAATTATATTTATAGAATTCAAAATTTATCTTTAAAATGCCAGTACCATGAGCTAATAGCATCACCATACTACGATTGATATAAATAAATGCTTTTGCCTTAAAGCGAATCCAGAAAGCTGAGACAGTAAGTTATGTTTACTTATATTTAAAATTTAATCTGTGTATCCACAACATTACCTTGATGAATTCCTTGATGGTGGTGGCCTCCTTGAAGTCAACCTCGGTGACGGCCGCGATGGCGAGCAGGTTCTTGAATCCGTTGGCGATGGAGTGAGGCGCGGAGGCGACGGTCGGGTAGCCGATGGTCAGCGAGACGGCCGCTACATTCGCCACTCCCTCCATGAACTTGGCACGCAAGTCCTCTGGCTTGATATCCAGGATGGCAGGCGCGAAAATGGTGCCAGAATCATATACCTATGATGATAGATTTAGTATTAGTAAATTTTAGAGTTGAGGTCTGGTTGTTCACGATGATCAATAAAGTGGCAGCTTTTATTTTGTTATTCCTGTAAATCCTACCTATCATCAGCATTTGAAGAATCTGTATCAATTTAGAATTTACAAAAATTTTGCAACTAAATTAAATAATTTAGCTATTTGTTTGCAAAAGTATTATAGGTGACCAATTACAAAAACTGATCATGTATGAAAGCACATTGCAGTTATTCTTTACCAAAGGTAAATTATCAGAATGCACAGAGTATGCAGACTGTACTCAACACTTTGGAAACTGCCAAATAAAATTGTTTACTTACAAATAATGGACATAAATACCTGTTTCACTACAAGACCATATGAGAACGGAGAGATGTTTAACATGTTGAGCAGGGTGGCTTCAGAAGCTCCCACCTTGTCACCGGGCTTCAAGATGTGGACATCATTGATGATTTCAATAGTTCCTGTAATGCAAAATCAAATTTCATATTATGTATCAATAAAAAAAGCCATATAAATCTAGTTTTTCTAATGTTTAAATAATTCTGTGTATCTTAGAAATGCCAATGCGACATCAACTATAGCAGATAGTCACATTAGGATAAATTCAAAGAATTAATTTTGTCTGAAAGCGAAACCAAAGAGTTAATATTACACTCTCTGATATTAGAACAGACATAAAGTTCATTTTGGTGTGATTTTTTGTGTGAAGAGAAATAGTTGGAAAGCTGAAATAACAGACTATGAAATAGAATAGAAAACTGTTAGCATAACAGGCACAGATATCATAATACTCTATACATATGAAACATCAAAGATTATCATAGAATATTCAAACAATGGAATAATACCAATTATACCACAAATATGTAGTCTAGTAATAAGCTTACCTGTTTAATTTTCTGTCATTTTTGCACTCATCTTTCTCCACATTTAAAAATATCAGATTAACAGCGAATTGCACAAATGGCCATTAAATTTTTCATTTGTTTCAAGCAACATTACTCATACAAATTTGACATTCATTAGAGCTTAAAGGCATCATTAAACCTTAATGGATGTTTGTGCAACTGACGGTAAGAAGTTCTAATTTATAAAAATGTTGCCTTTAAACTTACCCTTGGAAATCTTGGTTGGGATGGATAGAGCCTGGAAGAAGGAAGTCTTCTCAGGTCCTAGGCCAGTGTTATGAGCCGGAATGACAACAGCCAGGGGAGCGATAGCACCAGGACGGGCCGGAGCACGGACTTTGTTCTCCAGCAACTTGTCACGAACCTAATACCAGCAAAATTATTTTATATCCATCAACATTACGTTACTAGCAAGTAGCTCATTTTTGCGTTCGAGGTTAGGAAAATCTGATCTTTTATTTCTGACTTGCATTAGCAAAGAAACAAGTGATAAATAAAATAAAATAATACATACTTCGACAAGGTCTCCACGGGTGAACACAAAGCCTACGTTGCCCTTGATGTGCGGCAATAGTTTTTCCAAGGCTGGGTTGGTCTCCAAGTGGTCTTTGATAGCTTTGCGCATCATTGTGTTTTTGCCCATCAACACAATGCTATGGCCACGTAGCGAGATACGAATCTGCTGCATTTGAGTTGAACCTACGTTGTCTGCACCCACTAAGAAACATTTTGGGTACTCGTCTAAGAGTTGCTGTAAGTAAAATTAACAAACTTCTTACAGTGAACATTTTGAGGTTAACAGATTTTAATCAATTTGTTGTAGATCAACATTATACTCACGATAATTTTGGTGAAGTAATTGGACTTCCAGGTTGCCTTGTCCTCCCTACCCATCTTGGAGAGTGTAGTAGGGACTTCGGAGAAATTTAAGGACTGAAAACGAATTGTTCAGTGACAAACGATGTTGACAAAAAAGTAGCCCCGCAAATTGGAAAATAATTTGATACGTATTGATAATTTTATAGAATTTGTTGGAATAAAGCACTAAAACCACACATAAGAAATTGATTTTCAGGATAAATCAAGGTGAAACTTACCAAAACAAAACGCACGAAACCAGTGCGGGATCAAAATGGCGGAACTTATGACCACAAACTGCTTATGACATGACATAGGATTGGGCAAAAACTATCGATATATCAAAATATTGATATCTTTTCTGAAAACTATCGATTTAAATAAGCGATAATATTTTCTGCGATCGGCTTTCGATATTTATTTTCAGATATCAAATTTGTATCATAATCGATATATTTTTAAAGTTTTGCTGTCTGTTCATAGGTGTCATCATGTATTTTTTAAATTTAAAAAGAGTAGTTAGTCAGTAGGCTGTATGGGTTTAGAAATTAAAGTCCTGCTTTTGACCTGCTTTTTTTTGTTTCCTTATGACAATGACACTGCTTGTTGGTTTGGTTGGTATCAGTGAAAGTGCTCCTGATGTTAATATCAGACAAATACTGATTTGTTTGAATAATGTAATTTTTGTTGTGTTGAAGATGTTGTTTTCTTAGCTTTATGTACCTATTGTAAATAACAAAACCGCCAAGGGTTTATTTGCTTTAAAATTTCGAATATTTTGTCAATATTTATAAATAATCGCTTATTACGCAGAAAATATCGATATGTATTTGACAATATTTATCGATACATTTGATAAGTAAATGGGTTTACCCGTAATGCGTTTACTCATCCCTAACATGACAGGACCGCAGACCGAAGTAACTAAGGCCCGACCATAGACATAAAAGAAGAGGACCGGCCATACCTACGAAAAAAGCGTATATGCCTAAACTTCAAATGCAAATTCTTCGATGGCGGATTGTCATAGGGCGTGACCCAAGATATCGATATTTGTATCGACATTGAAGTCATATTAAATAAAAGTTAGTATTTCGTGACACTGCTACAATACTACTACTTATTAAATAATATAATATAATTTTCATTGTTAGGGGCATGGCTAAACTATTACCTATTACACTTCTATTCATTTCACACTTACGTACCAATCCTATTTATGATTATTATTAATTAAATTGAAAAATTCACGCCAGTATCAAGAAAATAATATTTTTTTAAAAGTGGCGTGAATTTATCAATTATATATAAATCATTAAGCAATCTTTTGCTCGTATTTTGTTAGACATCTAAAATTTCTTGCGTTCTTTGTTCTTGCGACTCCGTTGCGTCACTATAGTAAATATAACATATGTTACCAGCGTGTGATGGCGCTTCCCACGGGTAAAAGATCAAAATCCGTTCAGTAGTTTTTACATAAGAGTAACCAACATCCATCCTCACAAACTTTCACATTTATATTATTTAATAATATAATTTTATAATATGATTGTACCTCGATAAATATGTTTCTTTTTCCTCTAATATAGCCAATTTTACATAGTTTTAAGAACTATAGTACCAAAATATATATCTTAAAAGTTTTACTATAATATCAATCGTGTTTTATAATTATTTCCATATATATTGTCACGTTGACATTTTGCAATTATAATTAAATAGTTTTTTTAACATAAGTTTAATTTTGCATCCACGGGAAGTGTGACTACTGTCCAAGATAACTACCACGGTAACTATAATAAGCTTTTAATGAGTCGATTGACGAATGGATTATTATCCTTTTTTTTGTCTGTTATATATTTTTTATTGTTTTGGTGGAAAGTGACATTTTGGTCCAATGAAGTCATTTTTTATTTTTCAGTATGAAATTAAACAGGGTGCAAAAGCAGCCCTTGCAGTTTCTTACCGGTTCCTTTCTTACAGTTTCTTCTTTTCTCGGTACAAGGTTTCCCATAATAGATTGCTGAACTATAAGCACAGAGTTTCGACTTTCTTATATGCTTGTAACTAGTAAGCCAACTTGTCTATAAATTTATTCAATAAATTGTTTTGACTGAATAAATTTCGCTTCCTCCTCATTAAGTGAGATACCGTGCGTACTGTGTCACAATTTTAGTTCAGAACATCTTGTTTAGTAGTAAACATAGAAAACTTGAAACACCTACATAATCTTTGTATTATATTATTGGTAAAAGAACATAAAAATACTGTAAACTTTGATGAATAAACAAGAGAAAATAAAGAAAACAATGGTTGGTGATGAATAAGTAACAATTGGCATAACAGTAACATTATTAAAGAAGTAACAATTGGCATTTTATTTAAAAATTTGGTTAGCAAGAAGAAAACAGCCGATTAATCAATAGGCAAGCATACAAATATTTTCTCAGCACTAAAACAGTCTGCAGTTCATGTTCTGTGAACAATCATGATAACGGTCAGCAATTTAAATTCAAAAAGGTAGCGTATTTTATGATGCATCAGCAAAATAAACATCCACGCCGCAAAATAATTATTTGGGTATTAAGATTATACTATTGAACAGCAAAGCAAACCTTTAACTATGCCTTTAATTTGATAAGTGTGCATATTTTAATTTTTATTAAAATTATTTAACTCATTTTATTGTATATTTTACTGGGAGTATATTATGATCAGAATTTTATATTTTAATATTATTATATATTGCATTCTGATTTTTTTCAATTAAAATAGTCGTCATATGACCGCAAGACTAAAAATAAGGTACATTTATAGAATAACAAAATGACTATATAAAAAACTAAATAAATAAATCAGTAAAATCAAATGAAAATTAACTAAGTGTAATAGACATTTTTTTTTAAATAAGTTAAAAGCAATTGTCAAAAATTCTTACCAGAGTATTTGATTGGCAATGCATCATCTCGTAATTTTATTATATTTAAAGTTCGATTCAAACAACTTTCCCTAAAATTAAGTGAGCAGATAAAAGTAACTTTTTCATTACATTTAATATTTTCTGCTTCTATGTAACTCGGCCATTTTCCTCTTTTGTTTCATCTTTTGGTAATCTAAAATAATTAATATATTTTTAAATATTAAAATTATCGATATAAACCATATGTTAAAGTAACGACACTAGCCATGTAAACAATATTATTTACGGACCGAAATATTATAAAAATATAAACGAAAAGAGCAATATAGCATAAATAGAACACGCCAAAATACGATATGTATCGATTTATACACGCAATCATTTTCAGAATAACTTACTTACGTTTTAAATACTGTTATTCCAAGAAAGTGTTTAACTTACCGGTGAAACGTAATATTGCTCAGTTTGCGGGATATTGATGACGCACAACCAATTATACAGCACCTAGGCATTGTTTTGCATAAATAATTGACAATTTTCTGCCATGAAAGTTATATAAATTAAAGTTATAAATGAAAATAACCACAAAACTTATAACACTGACAGCTGAACTACTTCCGAGAATACGCAAAGCAAATTTGCAAATGGCTGACAGGTGGTACGATAGCTATATCTCATGACGTCACGTAAAAAATTTTGAACTGTCACACTAGTGTTATCTTTGTTTACTAAAGAAACTTCTTATTAGTTAAAAAAAGACAACATCATGTTTTTGATGTCAACTTCAGATTGCATGATATTTATATAATCATAGAAAATATTTCCACTCTACCTTACTCTATGGGCCCGACACGAAAGTCGATATTGATGTGACAGCTAGTTATAGTATATATGTATTACTGATCACATTGAACTAATCAGCTGAAACTGAAGTAACAACTAACTGTGAATGTCATTTCTTAAGTTGGAATTTTCAGCCGACAGCTGTATTTTTATGTATAGTTATAGCAATCCCAAATATCTGCTTAAACGATTTTCCCGCGATCAGTTGTCGGTTCATTATCGAGAATATTCGTTTGCACGACCAATTGAACTATACGTAATGACCGGCGCGTCATTCGCGCCACGCTAGTCCGCTTCCGTAGTGATAAGCGTTAGCCACAGACCAAGAAGAAGCTACTACGTATAATCCGCCATTGTCATGACGTCATTTGTAATATGTCTAATCAGTCGATAGCGGGCTAGTAAGAGACGGGTGAGGAATGTCATTTTCTTTCAAGAGTAATTGTCATGGCGGCCCCTATTAACATTGTATCCGATACTTTATAAGTATGAGCCGTGAGCATTAGGTCTGGTTCAGTTCGACGCGAATGACCTAGGAGATGTCTGTGGCAGGCGGTAAATTGTGTCTCCTATACAGTCCGTTCAATGGAATTCAAAACTATCCGCTGTGGTCCGAAATCCCTCCGCACCACTCTTCCACCTCGCGGATTTCCACTGGCAGATGCCTATAGTACTCAACGGACGGGCGCGCGGGGCGGATGCTATGTACAGTAGTCATTATGACCGTTTTTCAAACTGAGAGTGTTATTTAAGAAGTACGATTCACGTTGAACTGAAAGACAAACAACCGCGACGGTCGCATGCGCTAATCCGTGTGTGGTCGGGCCGCATCGCACTGAATAGCGCCTTATTTTCATACCACTGTTAATTATTTTTGTTGCATATAGCCCAAAAGTATGAAAATATAAAGTATTTAAAAAAAGAGAAAATTATTTTCGCACGATAGTCACAGCATAGAATTAATAAGTACTACGTACAACTAGAATGCTTACTGTGTGTCTAAACACGCGCCGAGTGAGAGGTCATAAATCTTGGTTTGTCCCTTTCTAAGTAGTGTAACCATTCTTACCTGAATACATTGGACATTAAAAGAAAATATTGATTATTGAAATTGAATAATATTAATATGAAGCAGGAAAAATTCTTATTCAATCTCAACTCAACAATAATAAATTTCAATAAATAGCAATTTCATACGCAGACCTCCCCCCCCCCCCCCACTGGGGGAAGACCTAATAATAAAACGCAATCAAAATAGTATATTTTATTATTTTATTTATTTATTTAACAAACTTTATTGTACATTAAATTGGTACAAGATGCGGACTTAATGCTATTAGCATTCTCTACCAGTCAACCTTTGGGATACAGAAATACACGATGGCGGCATAAAGTTAACTTATAAATATACTACTATGACTGTATTGTTTACATTTTAAAATTAACATATTACTTCAACAAAATTGTTTTGTGCAATTTATGGCGTAAAGTAGCGCGAGATGTGCCAATGGCCTTGAATGTGAGACCTTTGCCATAAGTTGACATTCTTATTATGAGAATCTCATGCCTTTGTTGGATTTATTTTTGTTCAATTGCTGATGAATATTTGGGAAACAGTTTGTTATGACAGATTGTACCTTTTCATAATTTTTACAATTTTCTTTTAAAACTGCTAAAAGTGACTTTAAATTATTAATCTTCATCTTCATGTCTCTTCTTTTGATTTTTGCCTAGTATTAATATCAAGTTTTAACTTCTTACATGAAGGACTTTAGTCAGGCGTATAACTAAAGGCGTTTAACACATTATTTTTTTTGTTATCAGGAAAAATCTGTAATGAAATTAGATAGGTACATAAAAATAAGTTATAATATGAATTGTTGTTTTAACTTATTATTTTCGATATAATGTTGTTTATAAATGAGTGCTTTAATATTAGGTAGGTACCTTTGGCAAGATTGAAGGAATCACTTCTGATTTCAGCCTTTTTCGAGCCTCTGTTCGGTAATCTTTGGGTTTGAAATGAAGTGTACAAACCACACAGCTTTCATGTAAGTTCCCAGGTATCAACCATTTTTTCTTAACTCTAAATCCGATGGCAAACTGGAAATTTAAATTAAAATGTATATTTTTTATTATAGTAATAATTTGGTTTGGTTTGGTGTGTAAATAGATATTTGCAAAAGATCGATCAAACGATAAGCCTACTGACCAATAAAATGATTAAAGGATACCCATTTATGAGCCTCCACATGCTTGCTTAATGTAGGTAGACTTGCAAATAGTGAATAACCAAAGTGTTAAGTGATACAACAATTTTAAATTTAGTACTTAATTAGGCAATAATAGGGTCTATGCTTATAGTACGTACGTACTTTACATCTCTATACGTAAAGTATAGTCACCCTAGTTTCTACTGATGACATACTTACCTGTGAAAAGATAATCCACAGCCAGGTACGATTCTTTCCCTTACCCACTCACAGCACATACATTGTTTACCATTTTTCAATCCAATATACTATTTAAAGCACTTTTTTTAATTCAGAGAGCATTAAAAACAAGTCCATATGACAAAAAAGAAAACGCCATGTTGCTTTTGTGGTGCCACGTGAATACTTCAATTTACCTATACTCCATTTACTATAACATTAGAAAAAAAGAGGGTCATAGAAACAGCAGTGCAGAACATTTTATTTTCAAGATAAATTTAAAAAATCTTTATTAGTTTTGTTGAAGCTTTGAACGTTAGGTAATCTGAGAGAGCTGGGCAATTTTCCATTTTTTATGATACCTCGGGGTTGAGATGAGGCCAGCATTTTATAAATTCATCTTTTAGTCCCAAGCCAACATGGAACTAAAACTGAAACTATCTGTGTGTTTTAATAAATTCTAATTGTAAGTGTAATAAGTTAGACTTTTGATGAAGACATTGGAAAAACTACCCGAAATGTTAAAGTTTGAGGGTAGGTATGGGGGCTTAGAGCGTAATTTTTGTAGGCCACTCGGGCCTGTACCGGCATCGTCCATATTTACCAAAACTTAACAACAAAAATAAAACAATAACATCACGGAAAACGGCAAAACAACAAGAAAGGCAGTAGCATTCACAATGGATGACAATCCCAGATTACGATTTTAACAATTATGAATAAATAATAGTCTGACAAAATTAAAAAGCTGTACTACCGAAACGTTTGAAGGGGTTAGGCAACGTTTTAAATTTGGTAGAGTTATAGTGACATGAGAATCGTGCCGAAACTATCCAACCCTGCTTCTTTAGGTTCTTTACGATGGACACTTTTTATTGTAATAGTTATTAAATCATTTAAGTTAGTCATATACTCATAAATTTGTTTAATAGATAGCTTAAATGACAACAGTTAAGTATAGCAGCTGATATTTAAGTGGATATGTAGCAAATTAGCCGTCAGTCTTAAAAGTAACATGATTATTGATATTTTGTCACAAAGTATACCATAAAAAGAACCTTATTTCACTTCTGTCTAATGCTATAATGAATGGAGTATAGTGTTGCATAACGTAAAGGTAATAAAACATGCCTACAATATTGAAATGTCGTGAAATATAAAAACTTTGTTTTATCTGGACCTAAAAGCTATTATATTATTTATATTATTAGTAAACTTATAAACAAGCCAAATATAATATTCATATAGAAAACGTTTTGTTCTGTGTAATCAGTTTTCACGAATTTACCACCTTTATATCAACAATATTTCACATGGCAATTGTGCGACAGAGACACACCAAGAAAAAAGATGTCTCACTTGAGCTCATTTCTCTATGTAGATAATGGTTATTTAAAAAACACTTTATTCACATATCATTAAGGTTCATTTTGAGATGTCAAAAAGATCGCAGTTAGCATTCCAGTTGTACGTAGTACTTATTAATTCTATGAGTCACAGTTCTCTTACAGTTTAAGTTCTACCATTTCTGAGACTAACTTATTGGATCCTTTATGGAAGCTATAGATAACCAATTGAATAGTCAAATTAAACTTTCAATTAAAATAATTTACCATACGTAGTATCTTCTTAGTCTGTGATCATACCAGTATACAGCCATATAGTACAGTCAACAGAACTTCAAAGAACTTGTTGTTAGTTGAAATAAACTAGAGAAATTTAACATAATATTGTTGGGTAACCTGGGTCATGAGTGTATCCTACATCCATACAATGCGTTATTTAAAACTCCATAATAAAAAAAAAAATAATTTATCAAAAATGTTTTGTTTTACATCTGTACCATAGATATATAATTTTACGTACTAGTATCCGACCGAAGATCTATTTTTGGCCGAAGCCGAAGCCGATTAATCGACAATCGCCACAACCTTCGGCAGAAACCGAAGCCGAAGGTTTATAATCTCTTAGTAATTAATTTTGTTCAAAATTGTCTACAAGCTACAATTAATATTAAAATTATTTCAAAGCAAGCAATTATCGATGTTTGAAAATCTCATCGTACCTAGCGTAAGTGACGTGCAGCTTCAAACAGAGCTACCTTAAACTGCGCCTTTCCAACCCGGAATAAAATGGACAAGTGCACAAGCTACTCATCCGGGTTTTTCATTGCATTCGGGTCCGGAAAAATCGTACCGCCGAACCTGAAAGTGTAGTGCACAAGCGCCCTGACTCCCCGTGGCGTCTGCAAATATGACCGATCCGTCTCTCTCTCACTCAGTCTTTCGTAATAGTTCGTTCAATCTCGACGGTTGCTCGGATCTTCGGGGAAAACCCGGCCAAAGCCGAAGTTTTCGCCGAAAATGTTTTTTTGGCCGAAGGTGGCCGATGCCGAAGCCGAAGCTTCGATCGGACACTAATACTTACCTATCGTTTAAAATATAAGGATACACACTTTACTGTACATAAACATGATGTTAAGCGTCAAATTATTACAACGTTTCAGAGCTTCCTTTTGAATTTTCAGAAAAAAATATATAAAGGATATTCACCAGGGTTTACGAATTGTTAATACTTATTTTAAAGCTTGTTATATGATTACCATTGAATACTTGAATACATTCAAATAAAAATTTAACGTATGTGTTTGCTCAATGCTCAATTAACAAAACATCTCTATCTAATGTCAAAATTGTCAAGCATATTTGTCAATTAAAGTGGTTATGTTGGTTTGGTTTTGTTGGATTCCTTTACAATTTTCCAAATTTATTACGATTATAGTATCCATTACTTCTTTTTCTTTCTGTTTGCATGACTCTGTGTTGTTGAGTCAAATTTCAGATTTAACGACTCAAAAATAAGAATAGTCGACTGGTAGCTAAAAATGTCACTATTCCGGAAACCAAAGAAAATACAACGACGCATGTTTTGCGCTGATGATGAAGACGAAGGAGACCCTGAGCCACCACCACCACCTATTATTAGTCACGAAAGAGAGAAAAAAGAAAACAAACCTGTTAAACCAACATCTCTTCTGAGTTTTGCTGATGAAGGTAACGTCATCGGCTTTTCACGAGATTTTCATCTATTGAAGCTCTATCGCTCTATTCCGCTTTAACCTAAAATTATGAATTAGTTTTCTTTGCTTTTCATAAATGTACCATATTCAAGAGAAGCAATACATCATTTTGTATAAAAATTTTGGACCTTTGCGATATAAGTCGGCATGGATAAAGTTGAGTGAGATCCTTAGTGCAAATACATATGTGTTTATTTCACATTTGTATGAGTGAAGAATAAAAAGCCAATTACAGAAATTTGACATATTATGCTAGTCTGAAGTGCAGCCATGTGTACCATTGAGTATGCACCTTAGTTTATTTGATTCACATTTTATGATTGCATATGCAATTAGACTTTCATAAACAGGGAAAAAAGATATTTATTTCATATCCTATGAATTTCTAAGCTAAGGGACCTCCCCTACACATAAAGTATCCTAAAATTTTCTTTTTTTACCATTTTATTTCTCTACTTGATAGATATGGCAAAATTTTTAAGGGTTAATGGTTGTTTACTTTGCCCTTAGAAAAATTAAATTTCACTATGGGAGGGACTTGAACCCACAATACTGGCAATCTGTGCCAAGCTCCTACTAACTAAGCCATCAACTAACCAGTGGTAAAATTGTTCTTCCCATTTTTCTTTCTCTATAAACCTCAAAATAAAATCACAATTAGAAACATCTGAAGATCAACAAAGTGGGCACTGGTCAGTTAGTTGCCTATATGACAATATTAAGGGCCAGTTTTTTGATCCGTGGTTAACTCAACCATTTGTTAAAATCTTTGACAAATGGTTAAATATCACAAAAATATGTTTTTTGATTAATAGTTAGCCTAACCATTTGTCAGAATTACAACCATTTGTCAAAAAATTTAACCATCACTGGAAGCTAGGTTAAGTAAATGACCAATTGTTAAAAGAACAGATGTACAACTGCGTTGTATTTACTTGGTCCCTTGTTATTGTTTTTTACGTTGTTTTTATAACCTACATGAATTCATAGTGAATTTGGACATTAGCTATTTTTGGGATTTCGTTTTATGATGCAATTTCATAGGAAAATATTCATTGTCATTTTTTGGTTATAGGGTTATTGAAAATTAGTTATATTTTTATCTTGATCATCCTTAGTAGGTATATTTGTACTATATAGAAATATTTTTACTTGTTTCCACAGGCAGATGCCAAATTATTCAATTATTAATAATCTTCTAAATTCCACGAATAGACAATACAAAAGGTATTTAAGGTAAGGCAGTACATAAAATACTGTAGTAGCTCGGTACAGTACATAAAATACTGTAGTAGTAGTAGCCCGGTGGCTTAGCGGATAAGCGGCGCGGCCCGCGATCGTTGTCGTTAAGCAACTTTCGCAAGGGTCGGTCATGGGATGGGTGACCAAAAATTATTATCTCAAGCTACTCCGTGCTTCGGAAGGCACGTTAAGCCGTTGGTGCCAGCTGCATTTGCAGTCATAAATACCCTCCAATCCGCATTGGGCCAGCGTGGAGGGTCATGGCCCATCCTCCTTAACCATCCATAAGGAAGGCCTGAGCCCCTGCAGTGGGGACGTAAAAGGGCTGATGATGATGACATAAAATACATAGTCCTCGATTTATTTCCAACATTACAATCCCACCTTGGATACTAGATACTATATTCTTTTCACGTATTTCTCTATAAGATAAATAAAAAACAAATAAATGCTTTTTATAAAAAAGTTAAGTTTGTAAATAACTGGAAAAAACATATCTTACATTATCAAACAAATTCCCTTATATTTCCTAAAAAATAACACATAGTGCACACAACAGAACAACCATAAACATCCACACTGTTTGATAATCTATAGATTTCTTTCGTCTATTTGATATTTAGAACAAAATCCTAATGTCAAAAATGGTATATAGTTCGCTCCGTTCATTCAAACCGTTAGTGTTGTCAGCCAGAAAAAAATTACCCATGTCAATGTATAGCGAAAAAACGACTCATTGTGCTGGCAACAAATTGGCCAGTGGTTAAATTTGACTATGGTTAAATTTGGCATCAAAAAACGCAATAGCGAGTTAACAACTTGTTATTGTTTTAACTATAGTCAAGTTAACAAATGGTTAAATGACATTTGACTACGGATCAAAAAACTGGCCCTAAGTGTGATATAACAGGTAAATTTGTATATGAATAAAATGTCCATAATTATATGTGTAATAAATTTTTATAATGTGGTTTTTAGTACAAATACAATTATAAAGATACAATAAAAAATTAAAGATTCAATTATAAATTATACATACAATTCATGTACATTTTAAATAAGAATTATGCCACTTTTTCTATGGCTGCCTCCAACCCCAATTTACAATTAGATCAAGGTAACTTGCAGCCATTTAGAAGCTCCCCAGGGCCAGAGGCTTGGGGCATATTGACATCATTGTAGAGGTGGATACAGGACATATGAAATTATTAGTTTTATTATTATATTATTTAGTTTTTGTATTTCTATAAAGTTTTAAAAAGAAGTCTTTTTGCATCTTTAGATATCAGCTCTCATAATTTCACAACCAAATCAATTGCAATTCTTGTAATTGTTTTCACTTTTAAATCATGGGATCAATTTTATGTTTTGAAAATAATGTAATGTTACCTACGTAGAAAATTATTTTTGATACTAAATAAAAAAAAATATGAAGGTGGACCAACTTTTGCACTTTTGCATAGGCTGGTTGTTAGTTGATTAAAAGTGTTCTGTTGTATTTGGTCTGCCAATGATATCACTTATTTATGTAAATCACTATTCAAAATATTAAAGTTAAAGCTGTGCTTATTCGTCAAAAAACACTTTAAATATTATAAAATGAATTTCGAAACAAAAACAAATGTATGTATGTACAATGTATTAGGAAAAACAAAATTGTAATACCCAAGTGTTATTTGACAATATTCAAGGAAAATATATTTTACATGGCCATTAAGATTTTTAATAAACTAGCTTTCGCCAGCGGCTTCGCCCGCGTGGTTCCTAGGGAAATGTTTAGTGGAATAAAAAGTATCCTATTGTATTATCAAATTCAGCTAATACCTTATCTGTATACCAAATTTCATCAAAATCCGTTCATTAGTTTTGGCGTGATTGACCGACAAACATCCAAACAAAGAAACTTTCACATTTATAATATTAATAGGATTACCACTTTATCTAACAGATCTGTTTTAGACAGGAATTTTATTTGACTTAAGAATAAATATATAAACGTAAAAAAAATGCAGAATGTGTTTTATATATATATATTTTATCATTATTAATTTATTATTGGAACTTGCATGTCTACAAGAATAAGGTGAAATAATATTTGGTTTTGAAACATTGTTGAACATCCCAATGTAGATACATATTATTGCGCAAATAAAATACTTTGACTTACAAATCTCCATCAGGTCTCGGAAGGTGGTTAAAGCGCATTCTTCCTATTTGTTTGAAATCCATAAAATTTTCTCTCATACTTTGTAATAAATAACAACAATTCCACTTACAGAGGAAGACGGGGAGGTGTTCAAAGTGAAGAAATCGTCACAAAGTAAAAGACTCGCGAAACGCAGGGAGAAGGAGAAACGGCGTGCCCCTGACGGTGATAGTAATAAATATGACAATAACATTCAGGAGGTAATGTGTCTTATTTATGTCATCGCACTCTTTAAAGACAATCACCGTGATGCTTATTAGATCTCTTAGTCATTAACTGTATCAACTATATTTATTATTTATGTTAAAAAGGAGGAGAAAATGGTGATCGACAGCAGTCAGCAGGAGAAGAAAAAAAAGAGAGTGACCTTAGAGGGGTTGATACTGTCGGGTCGGGAAGCACTAGCGGCAGATGGAGCAGGCGATGTATCTGATAGTCCCCCTGAGGAGGAGGCCGAGGAGGAGGACCAGCACGGGTTCCACCGGTACCGCGCGGAGTCGGTGAGGGCCGCGCTGGCCGTGGCTCCCGGCCACATCCCTGACGCCGCGCTCATCCACGCTGCGCGCAAGACAAGACAGCAGGTATGAGAGGTGAGGCACAAGCTCGCCGTCGCCGATGTTTGTTCAGCTTCTGTCGCCATTTTATGGTCTGCGACAGATTACACTGCGGTCTTCCTCTTGAATTTGGTTAGAGTATTTTTTAGGATCGTATCTTTATGAGCGCGTACTGAGAGTGAACATCATGCAGTATAGAATGTTGGTAATACACCCAGTGCCGGAATAAGCCAGAGCGGGGCCTGTAGCAAATTTTTTGAGTTCCCTTGGATTGCTTAAGATTAATTATGTGAATAATTGTAATTTTAAAAACTGAAAAATTATGAAAATATTGTCATCTTATAGTGCAAGGGTACTTGATGCAATGTTATTTCTTTAATTATAATGCATCTATGTAACTCATTAAAAATAAAAGTAAGCTCTCTCTTTTATGACATGTAAAGTTGGTTAAGTGTTAGTATTACTTTGTCGATTAGGGTTGTATTCCAACTAGATTTCTGCTCAGTTGATTATGAATTATTGATTAGGATCAAAAGAAGGTAAGGAGTATTCATCATCCTTGGCCTAAACATATCAAACATTGACGATTTTGTTAATTTTTATGGTGTAAGTCAGGGTTTCCCAAACTATTTTAGCTCGCGGCTTATGCACAAGTTTCGTATTTATATCGGTGCTCCAGATGGTGTGTCGTCGGTTTATAACGTAAAAAATTTTGCCTGTTTTGGCCTCTCTTCCTTTCCTTTCTTTGAAAAAAAAAAAAGAATGCCTTCCCCTACCCTAGTATGTATGGAGAAAATTAAAAGTATTAATCAAGATTTATCAAAGATATAGTAATAGTTTTGACAACGTGTTTTATTTCTCGGCACCCCTATGTATTCTCTGTGCCGCCCCAGGGCGTTGTAGCGCATAGTTTGGGTAATCCTGGTTTAAGAAATTATTAATTTATTTAAAAACATAGAATTTGAAGGTCAATCAGTCGTTTATCTGCTGAATTTGGTGTCGATACCATACTTTATATATAACAGTCATCTCGTCTCTGCTTTATTATTGACTTGTTATTTAAAAGGCTTCATGTGTTAATGTATAGAGTCGAAAGAACTCCAAATACGTGTTAAACCCATACTCAAGTTCAGCCCCGGATCTATGATTTTTTCAAATAGGGTGAAAAATGTGGTAGTGGCGCCATCTCCAGCCATCGTTTGAGATAATTGTACGCATAACTAAATATCACGCGATTTGCCTGCGTAAATTGAAGACTACTATCTACTGTTTAAAGCGACATTACCCATACAAATTTGACATTTAATGGACGTTTCTGCTGCTGAACATTAGTCATCCGCGTTTAATGTAGATTTCCATAGATGAAAGTTTTAATATGAGTCCAGTAATAAGAGAAACGAATAATTGAATCTTTCCTTTTTATAATATTAGAATAGACAATCGATGGTATTTTATTGATCGGGCGATACAAAGAAAACCTTTAAACAATTGCACTCATTATTACCTATTAGCTTTTTAATTATTTCTATTATTTTGGTGCCTTCTGAATCTTCTGAATTAGCCGCTTAGGCTAAGTGACCAGTTACTCCTCTAGACTCGGGGCTGTTCAGTATTTAAATAGATTATTTTAACTTCATGTAACACTGTTGCAGGCTCGTGAGATCGGCGGTGACTATATAGCTCTGAAGACTGAAGCGGCGCCAGGCTCACGGCTCGTGCGGGACGATGGTTCAGGGGACGACGACGATGAAGAAGGAAGGGTTCATGTTAGGGGGTTAGATCTGCCCAGCGATAAGCCGAAACGTAAGTCAAAATATTTTTGAAACAACGGTGGCAGATACTGCTGATAAGTCTGTTGGATTACTACTCTCTGGACTAATTTTATTATATAATAATCTGTGTTCTCGTGACTTTGCTCCCATAAATTATACCCTATGTCATCCGCACATGATGTAGATTCACGTAGGTGGAAGAATTTTCATGATTTGATCGGTATAACTACCTCTTTGAAGTATTAGTATAGATCAAGGGTTCCCAAACTTATTCTGTCTACTGCCCACTTTGAGAAAAAAATATTTTATAGCGCCCCCATTTTTTCATCTACCTAAAAACCAACATAACTTCAAATTAAATGAATTCATTATTGTAAACTATAGGTATATTAGCGGAGATTAAACATTAATTTTAAACGAGATTCAATATGACAGGATAGATATATGACCTACGCAGGGACAATTATCGAACCGAAAAGTACCTACATATTAGTCCAGGAGCTCTATATTTGAATCGTTCGTCTCGCGTCGAGCGCTCGTTTTCTACTGATTTATGATCGCCATTTCTCATTGGCTCGACGACAATGCGTGGTATGAACCACTCGTTTTAATTCACACTTTTTTGTTTATTTTAAAAAAATATTTATCATACAATACAAAAAAGAACAAAATTCAATATTTCGAATCATGCTGGCCAACCTGCCGTCGAACGATTCAAAAATACTAAAAAATGGCGTTATGCGACTTAGAAGTCGAGCGTGACTTAGGTCGTATACAGCAAGGAGATTTTAAACGAGTGAATCAAAAATAGAGCTCCAGTAAAAACAGTAATGCAACTAGGAACAAACGAGGATCTTAAGGACCACGGTGCGCACAGTTGCGCTTACGTCAGCAAGACTTGTGTGGCGTATGGAGAGTGTGTATCTGAATGAGAATGCCACACAAATATTGTTTGCATTTTCTTCAAAACCATTCGTTTTTAAATTAAATTTTTAATTAATTTCACTTTTGTATGAAAGCAAATTGTAAAGGATTATTATAAATCATTACACAGGCGTTGTTATTTATTATTTTAGTCATCTAGTCCGGCGAGAATTTGAGCCCTTCCCATCTGTATCTTGTAGTTCGAGGACATATATTTAATATTAAATTAATTTCTGATTTTATTCAGTTTTAAATTCATATTAGACTTTTAACCCATGATCGCCTGTCGTCCAGATTGCAAACGGCAATCCAGGCGACTGCTCTAAACACTGTTACCAGTACTTATTACTATTTCGCTACTACAGAGCATATTTTCATTAATGTTCAGACAATCCACCCGAAAGAATTATATTTTTATAAATGTTTAAACTTTCCATAAAGAAGAAAATTCGTCAGTCCTGTTGGATCCTGGATAACTCAGTGGTTAGAGTCCCATCTCAGAGTGCCAGGGACAAAGAGGATTTTTTAAGCATTTTTCATTAAGAATATTTTTCAGTGTAGCATTGTGAATTCAAAATTGATAATACCTATATAAGATATATATATTAGATATCCAAATGTGACCAAGTGTGTGATAGACGTAGTTAATGAAAATATGTATTTATTGTAGGTGGAACTGCCGCTGCACCCACCAACGAAGAGCTGGACAGCGAGGTCGAGGAGTGGGAGGAACAGCAGATGCAGAAAGCCATGCACGCCATCCCTGACATACCAGGTGAGGCCAAAAGTCTGTACATAGTTATAACTTATACTCGATTTACTGTTTAAAAGGATCTGTTTGTCGTCAAATGAAAATTCGCAAAATTCCGAACGTTCTTATAATTTTGCAAAAATTATACCCGTGAATTATCTACGCATCACAGGCAGTTTGAGATCTTTCCTCTGTTGCATAATATATTAAAGAAAATTTTGTTTCTTTGGAGTCCTATTTCAGCCACGAACGAAATTTAATTAATTCTGAAATATCATGTTAATTCGTATGAGTAATATGTATATTCTATAGTGATAATATAATGTATATTCTATTGTGCCAATGTTGGGAGTTCTTATGCATGCGGAGGACAGTCAACTTTAAAAGACATTAAATATAAACAATTCTAATATTGAGTGATTTAAAATTAAGTTGATAGCATTAGATGAACATTAGATTACAAGACCCTAAATAAAAAAAAAAGTATTATGCCCGTTTTCACTAAACTTAGGAGTCGCCTAAATCTGTCGCTTAAATATTTAGGAATCGCCTAAGGTAAAAATGCATTTCACAACCTTACGAAATTAAGCAATGTTTAAAGTTATTATATTCGCTATGAGGCGTCTTGCGCTAGGTATTTGCGTGTATGACAGGTCACATGTCAAGGGATACAAGAAAAAAATATTTACTTGGAATTAAAATAATCTACTTAGGCGATTCTTAATGTTAGGCGTTTCCTAGATAAGTTATGCCTTGTTTTAATTAGTGAAAATGGGTGTAAGTTCCGCAAATCGTTAATGCGCTGGAAGCTGGAAAAGTATACATGGTAAAAAATACAAGAGATAAATTATTAATTAATTATTAAAATACATACGAATAATTCTCAAAACATTTTTATAATATTTTAATAACTTTTACTTCATAAATTTATTGCAAGAATTTTCGAAAAAGGCCAATTTATATGTAAATATTGAGGTATATAGAAGACAAAAAAAAAAAATGAAAAAATAACATTTATTTTGTAATAACGCGATGACAAAAGCAAAGGATATTTTTTTAAAACATAATAAAAATAAGTTAATGAAATCAAGTTTATTTATTATGGAAATCTTAATAGCAGTTACAATTTTAATCAAGCACAATAAGTAACAACAAAATTTATTAATAATAATAAAAATACAATAAAAACATAACAAAACGTGTGTGATCTCAACCCAAATCAATAAGTGTACTCGTCAACCAGTTTTTATTTGTCAACGGCACTCATTTTTGAACACAATTACGTCACCAAAATGTCGGCCAGGCGCATCCGTAATTTGCGGGGATTATAGCGAATATGTTTAAAATGTTACGTAGCGTACATGGTCCGTCTAGGTGAGGGCATGGCGGAGCTGAACCCGTTCGCGGCGCCCCCGCCCCCGCGGCTGGAGGGCGCGTCGCACCTGCGCCCCCTGCACCACACGCGCCCGCTCACCTCCGCGCACGACCTGCTCGCCGCCCTCACTCACAGGTCACCTATGCCCTTTCAGTTCAATGAAAATTTAAAATTATCTATTCAAGTAAGCTGATTACAGGCACTTTTCATAAGACCAAATTTAGAATGTCCGATTTTCAAAACGTTTAGATACTGTCCCATTCCCGCAATGTCCAATCTATTATCATAATGAGTTTGTTGAATACACAGATGAATAATATAATACATGTAGATTGGACTGTGCTGGAGAGATGAATAATATATAGAATATTACTCATCTGGTCAGCACAGCTTAATATGGTTGGAGAATTTATTGAATACCATGTGGGCTCATAATTGGACATTTTGAGAACCAGATATTGTAGGAATCACATATTTTGAGAACTGGACATTCTGAAATGATATTATATATATGACGTCGTACGTGTATGCGATACTATAACATGTAACCGTCTAGCAACATAAATTCTTAATATACTAGCTTTCCGCCAGCGGCATCGCTCGCGTGGTCTTGTATTATACATAAAAACCTTCCTTTTGAATCACCCTATCTATGAAAAAAACCGCATCAAAATCCGTTGCGTAGTTTTAAAGATTTAAGCATAAGGATATAGGGACAGATTAAGCGACTTTGTCTTATACTATGTAGTGATAACCCGGGATTTTTTTGTTGTTCAGTGATGGATTATTCATATAAACTATTTCGCTCCATTTTTCGAAATGAAAATCATATCTCGCTACGGAATAGCTATTACACAAATCAACGGTTATTGTAAAAAAATAGCATATTTATAATGAGAAATAATGTGAAATTTATAATGTGAAAAATCCATTGAATCTAAGCGTTTGTTGACTGGGCTTGAGTAATCGAACAATCCACGCGGGCCCAGTCTTCTTTTCAGCCAAAAGACGTTCTGAATGGGAGGTAAATATTAAAAAAAAGTATTGGATGATTCAAAAGTACTTTTAATAAGTTTATTCGAATGAAGATTATTTGGACTTCGGTGATTGTTCGATCTCCCTACGCGGTTCTATCATACTGACTGATTTACACGTAATTGAAGAGATAATTAAGTAGATTTTAAATTTTAAACTATTACGTATGTGGAAACACATAAATAAGCAGTAAGTTGGAATTTAGTTATTTACTTATGAGTTTAGATTTAAATTTTAACTCGCTACTTATTACTCATTTGTGTTTACAACTAAATAAATGTACCTCCAACTTAATAAAAACTAAATTAATGACCATATTTAAAGATTTTTCATTATGTCAAATAGAATAAAAATCTGTAAAAACTTGCGCGTCTGTTTGAAAAAAAAAAAATATAAAAAGTAATTAATTGAAATGTCGTATTTTTTGCACATTTAAGCATTTGTCCCTTAAAGGCTTAAAAAAATCTGGCAACCCTAGTTTACACGTACTTGATTGTACTTATCTACAAAGTTACGTGTAAGCCCGCCACGATGCCCTAACAGGGGGGATAATATAGTTCGGTTGCCGGTCGAGCAGGTTAGAGGAGCTGCAATCGGGCCGCGAGCGCACGTTCGCGGAGCGCGCGGAGTACCTGTCGCGGTTGGCGCGCGCGGGCAGCGTACGCGCCGCACGCGCCGGCCGCACCGCACGACTCGACCGCGCCTACCGCCGCGCGCAGGCCGCCAGGGGGTTCCTCACCGACCTCGTCGAGTGTCTCGACGAGAAGGTCATTACTCATTACTCATCACATCGCCAGCCTTTTGATATTCTCGCTGCTGGGGCGCAGGCCTTCCTCATCCATAGATGGATTCGAAATCAAAACTCGACTGAAGGTGTAACGTGCCTTTAGAAGCACGGAGGAGGTCGAGATAGTAAATTTTAGGTCACCCATCCATTGCGAAAGTTACTTAGCGAAGGTATCGCAGACCGAGCGCGCTGATCACTGCTATATCAAGCTCCTCGGTACTCATCCCTATTATTAATATATAAATATTAGACAACATCTTATGTATTGCTCGAATTCCAAGATGAGTAACTGAAGCCCCCTTATTATGGTGACACAACGAAAGAAAATACAGAAAATTCCGATTTCTATATTGACCCGACCAAGAATCGAATCCGAGATGGCGACACCATGAAACTGGCGTGCGAACCACTCGGCTCCGGAGGTCGTCGATTATTATTTTTAACTAGCTGTTTTTCTGCGATTTGACCCGCGTTATTCGACTGCTTGACTTTTTTGGGAACGTTATTTTAAAACTTCCATTTGATGATATTAAACCACTCTCAGTTTCATTTTCCTCCATAATGTTAGGGAAAAACTTATTTTTCTAAATTGTCCCACGGTAAAGATCAGTCCCGTGACGTCACATTTCTATAAATATGAGTACTGGTACCCGGAACGAAGACGTCGACATTTAGTTTATTATAATGTGACATCACATGATACTCAGTTATCGCCGCCCGCGTTACGGTTCTTGTAATTCGCAGATTACAAATACTTCATAATTTATCGGTATAAATGTCAAGTAGCCGATTACAGCATATGACACCCGCGTATGATGTAATTTCTAACAATTTTTTATATCAGTCCAGCGTTTTCAGAGCCTATTCGATGCAAACAGACGATCAAAACTTTCTAATTTATTATATGAGTATACTATTCACATTGCATACTTTCCGAACATATATATTCTAACGTAAACGCGTTTTTATATTTAGATGCCGGCGTTAGAAGCTTTAGAGTCTCGTGCGCTTGCGCTAGCGCGGCGACGATGCGAGTATTTGGTTGAAAGACGACGGGCTGACGTACGAGACCAGGCCGACGATACACTCGCACTCACTGGTAACTAACACTCACTGATTGTTATCGGACCGATACTAGTCAGTGTGAGCGCCAGTTGACAGTTATATTAACTACTATTAGGCTACCAATATACGAGTATACCCACTGGTATTTAACACTCACATGTGTCAGGCCAACTAAATAATCTCTCATTGTTAATTAACACCCACTCTGCTTAGTAATAGACAGATACGAGGGTCAAACTGAAAGTTCTTAGAACTGGCCACTTATAAACAATATAATAAAAAAATAATTCTTAAATTTGAAAATATAACTCTTTGCCAATATTACTGAGTATATATTTCATTCATTTGTCATTTGTTTTACGATTTGGCGGCAAATTGAAAATTGTCTGTGTCACGTCATCATGAATTTAACACGAGAAAATTTTCGTGCAATGATTTTTTATGACTTTCGATGTCATTTAAGTCAACAAGAAAGTTATGATAGACTACGATTGGCCTTTCACGATGAAGCCCCATCTCGTGCGACTGTTTACAACTGGTTTAATGAGTTTAAACGTGGTCGCACTAATCTCACTGATGATTTACGTGAGGGACGGCCTTCTACGGCGACGACTGAAGATAACATCTGTGTTGTGCGGCGTATGATAGAGACTGACAAAAGAGTGACCTATCAACAGATTCGGACAAGCTTAGGCATCGGTATGAGTCAAGTGCACAAAATCCTCCACGAACATTTAGCGGTCAGGAAGCTTTGTGCCCGGTGGATACCTCATAATTTGACTGAGGCTCAAAAACTCCATCGTGTGGATTGGTGTCGTAAAATGATTGAAAGATTTAACGGAGGTGACTCAAATGCTGTGTTCGACATACTAACAGGTGACGAAAGCTGGATTTACTGTTATGATCCTAAAACCAAAAGACAATCTGCTCAGTGGGTGTTTCCTTTCGAGGAGTTGCCAACTAAAGTGAAGAGAGATCGAAGTGCGGGAAAAAAAATGGTGGCCTCGTTCTTTGGAAGGATAGGTCATTTTGCAACAATTGTGTTAGAGGATCAAAAAACAGTTTCTGCAGAATGGTACACTACCAATTGTTTGCCACTTGTCTTGGAAAAAGTTCGAGAGAAACGACCTCGCAGTAGGATCCTCCTTCACCACGACAACGCCTCGTCGCACACCGCCAAGCGAACGATCGACTATTTGGCGACATCAAACGTTGAATTACTGGGTCACCCGCCGTATAGCCCCGACCTCGCGCCTTGTGATTTTTATTTATTTCCAAAAATTAAAGAAAAACTTAAAGGAAAGCGGTTTATGAATGCTGAAGAAGCGGTGGCTGCGTATCGCGATGCCATTGAAGAGACCCCTAAGGACGAGTGGGCAAAGTGCTTTTCCCAGTGGTTTCATCGCATGCAGCGGTGTATTGACGTGAATGGACAATATTTTGAAAAGATATAATAAAACTAATAACTGGCTAATGTAATCAGTTTTTGATTTTCTAAGAACTTTCAGTTTGACCCTCGTATACTCCTACTCACTAGTACCAAAAGATCACACAATCTAGTATTAGTGTAACTATACACTCGCACTCAGTGGAATAAGGGTGATGTATGGGTAAAAAAAAGAAATTGTATTTATTCCGTCATTCAGATAACAGAAAATGATTAGAAATTCATTTTTACTTTAATTTACCAATAAATAGTTTAGGTAACAGGTATTAAAGTTTCGGAGTGGGGGCTCGCTACATCACAGCTTTGTAGAAAATGTACAAAGGCGTGACGTCATGTGTCATTTTAACTCGATATATTGCCCTAATTTATTGATTACGCAATAACTAAAAATGTGTTCATAATTAACTTGACGAACAGCTCCTAAAGCTAAATAAAAGAATAAAATGTAATTATCATCTAAAGACAATAAAATTTAATTATCATCCATATTGATACACCCCCATTTTAATTCTATAACGATATATCATCTGGCCACAGGCGATACATTCTCACTCATTGCAACTTGTGAGTATTAGTTAGTGTCTAATATCAAACAGACGATACACTCATACACATTATTAACTGACAATCAAACTTAGGTAAAGCGTATATTACCCAGTAAATATATTTGTAGCCCGCCCCGGCGCCGCCAAACCTGTGGAATCTGAAGAGAAGCGTCGCCGATGTGCAGAGCGAGAGGGAAGAAGGAGAGCGAGACGGATGAGGAGGGAGGAGTGCGCCGCAGCCGCCGGGACTCCGCCCTCGCACCGCGACGGAGACTCCAGTGACGACTCGTTGCCCCCAGATGAATTGCATCACTATCAGCGGGAAACGGGTATTTTTTGCAGTTCAACTCCTACGAATCTTGATAATATTGTTACGAACGGGGGTTTTTAGGATACAAATTAACGCCAATTAAATTCGTAATCTGACTATATTCTTCTTCTTCTCTTCTCTGTCGTTTCGCTTTCCCTATTTCCCGACTGTCTAGTACAGTCTGACACACATTCTCCCACGGCAGATTTTATTTGATCAGTCCAGCGCATAGGTGAGCCGCACGATCTGGTTACCTCTACCTTTCCTTGCACGACTAGCCGTTTTATGGAGTTATTGTCTCGTCTAGAGACATGGCCAAAATACTGTAGTATGCGCGTCTGTACTATAGTAGATAGACGCTTTTTGATGCCGAGTTCTTGGAGTATGAACACGTTGGTACGAAACTCTGTCCATGATATGCCAAGCATCTTCCTCCAGCACTACATCTCTAGAGCATCTATCTGTTACTAAACTCTGAACTCTAGAAATTCTGTATGTAACTCGACTCTTTTTACGTGCTGTTTTGTCAATACTGCTCGTTCTACTTCCACAAAGTTAAAGTTTTTTTACAAGCATACACTCGCACTAGTGATGTTTCTTTTGTTGTAATAGACCGTCCATTATTCACGTAAGGCTCGAACGGGGCGCTTTCCTCAAACGCGCGATTAACAAACCGGATAGCGGAAAAATTATGTTTTTTTTTAGGTACTAAAAATACACGTGCTTTTGATGGAGGGGTGGCGGGTTTGTCTTAAACCTCACCATGTATTACCAGTAGGGAGGTGGGGTTATAAAATGCTGAATAAAATATCACGTGATGAATGGACGACCCCTAAGTTTAGTCTCGTTTGGTTTGGCAGAAGCCATCCGCGCGGAGAGCGGCGCGTTGTTCGCGGACACGTTGCCCGCGTGGCGCAGCATCCGCGGCGTGTGCGCGGTGCTCGCGCGGTGGCGCCGCCGCTGCCCCGCGCTCTACAGCGACGCGTACGTCGCCGACTGCCTGCCCAAGCTGCTGGGGCCCTACGTGAGACACCAGGTCGTATCGACTGTCCGCTTTATACTTGTACAAGTCAAGTCAAGTAGAAAAAAATACAGAAATTCTATTTAGTCTGTCAGTCAGATAATAGTATATTTTTTTCTTGACGTCATGCGACATTTCAACTCAATATATCGCCTTAATTTATTGATTACGCAAAAATAATACGTGTTTATTATTCTTCAGTTATCTAACTGACGGACAAACAAACAAAAATGCAGATTTATGTTTATAAAGTTGTTTAACTTTATCAGATTATATCTTCCTTTACTTTTAATGTGGTCGTTTAGCATATATATAATTACGTTAGTATTCAGTTTTGTATGCTAATAAAATAAATGTTATTTCAGTTGATCTTATGGAATCCTTTGGCGGACGAAGATAACGAAGATTACGAGAAAATGGACTGGTACAAGTGAGCAATTTTTAAATTATTTCTTAACACCCTAATAAGCATTCAAATAAAAAGTTAAGAAAGTTGAATTTCGCAGGCACATCTGTTGGAACTTACCGTACTTGTTATTTAGAATGTTATTTCTTAAGAAAACAGGATAAATATTCAAGGAGGGCTCCCACTACAACTAACGTTAGTTGATAATATTTCATAGATAATTGTATGGAGCTTGTAGTGCGCGAGTCGGACTAGCTCTCGCTCGGTTTTCTTTAGTTTAGTCAAGTTTTGAGTCATACTATTTGTAGGGTTCGCAAAAATCAGATATTTATAATAATTATTAAAATATCCGATATTTAATATTTATTAGATATATATCGGATATATATATATATCGTGCATATGAAAAGAATATTAAATATTTGATCTATTAAATCAAAAGTGTAAAATAAAAATTGAGTTTGAGCTATTTAATATAAAATAATTAAAAAGTAATATGCGTACGACGATTTCCAGTAACATAGGGGAAAATCCGATATTCTAGTAAGTAAGATTGCTACTTCGGGCCAATGTTGCTAGCGTCAAATCGGGTTGGTTAATTTTCTAGCTGAGACTGAAAATTCAGTACTCAAACTAACAATAAATATCAATTGATATAAATCAATGTATATAACAATCCCTATATACGAGTATATCAGGAAATATATCGATGTATATATCAATCGATATTTAATAGCGAACCCTGCTATTTTGCTATTTATGTTAGAGGAAGTGTACTTGCCACTTCTAATGGTCAATATAAATGTCACTTTCTTTTCTTAATATAAACTCAGATGTCTGATGATGTACGGGGTGCGTCGGGAGCGCGCGTCTGACTCGTCGTCGGGCTCGTCGTCGTCGGAGGGCGAGGAGGCGCCGCCGCCGCAGGTCACCGAGGACTCGGTGCGGAACGATCCCGACTTAGGGCTCGTGCCCGCCATCGTGTGCAGAGTGCTCGTGCCCAAGCTTACAGGTGAGCGATCTTTCGACTCTATTACTGGTGTGTGTCATTTTATTAATTACGATTTTAGATCGTCAGTAGGTGTTTTTAAAAATAATAAGATAAATATATAACGGTGGGTAGTCAGAACAGGCGATTACGAAGCTCAAATAGATCGTCCATATCGGAGGACTATCTTTAAAATAACACTGCAGGCGTGTATACCAACGTGGTTTTGTTACATTTTATCACTTTTCGTACGAAAATATAACGAGGTGAGCGTGATGTTGTCGGATGTCTTTACTCCTCGACGATCGGAAACAGAATGTGTGCCAAAATGGCGGCAATTTGTTTTTTGTTAACAAACTGACAAAGTTAGTGTCACCATTCTAATAAAATTAGAAGTATCGATGATCACGCTCTCTCTCTACAATCGAGTAATTAAGTAATCGAGTAACAAGCAATTAAAATAAAAGAAACTAAATCAAACGATCTTCGTAAAGATGATGCGACATATATATTTTTTATTATATTTGATCAATTTCGCATTTACAATGCCACACTGACACATATTAAATGTAAAATTAAGCATTTTTCGAATCCAATCGATCTCGGGCACTCTGAGATGGGATTCGAACCCACTATCTCTCGCAATCCGGGTGACTGCTCTAATCACTGAGTTACCTAGGAACAGGACTGCCGAATCTTTCATGCGAATTCATCAAATATAATGATTAGGATCAATTTTCATCTCTATCAAAAGTTTAAATATTTGAAAAAGTAACAAGCGCTCGAAAGATTCGTCGGTGCAGCTCGGTGGTTAGAACGGTCAGCAGAGGCTCCGATGTCCGATCGATTGAATCGCGTGTCGCTGTGCTAGAGCTGGTGGAGCAGGCGTGGGACCCGATGCGCGTGCGCGCGTGCGTGCGGCTGCGGCAGCTGGTGGTGCGGCTGGCGGCGCTGCCCCGCGCCGCGCCCGCGCTGCGCCCGCTGGCCGCCGCCGCGCGCGCCCGCCTCGCGCACGCGCACCGCACCGACGTCTTCCTGCCGCCGCTGCCGCCGCAGTCAGTATACGATACGATGCGATTTTAACTATTTATATAAATTATGTTTTTTAATAGTAGTTAAGCAACTATCATATGAGAAGTAGTATTAAAACAGGAGAGTCTGTTTATCGATAATAGGTTGACTCGAGTGTGATTGAGTGACTTTTTTTTTGAGAAATGCGTTACGCATACCCGCTTCACCCGGCGCGGGCTCCACGGGTTATGTGGGACTCGTCCTGCAACCCCACCGTTTACCACTAAGACAAAAAGCAGAAGTTTACCCACTAAAACTCAGCGATGTCCCTCGCATGGAAGGCGATGCACGGGATCGGCCCGGAGGCCATACACCGCGCGGAGTGTTTTAATAACTTAGTTATATGCAGTTTCATACGCTACTTTATCTTTACTCATAGCAAAAATTTAAATTAATCAAAGTAGGTAGGTTACAAGGAAGTGATTTTTTCGTGCGCCATTTTTTTTCACAGTTCGAACTGCGCATGCGTGCACCTTTTTATCATATTCAGCCTAAAACATAACTTTTATGATACAATTGGCTGTTCTATAATGAGTTTTATTTATAATTATATATATATGAGTTTATAAAGTGCGTATATATAGAATCGTCTTTGAATTCGTAATTCGAACATTTCGATTTGAGTGTAGATAAACATTTTTTTAGATATATTTCATGTATATATGTATATACAATAAAAATATTTTAACTGAAATTGTCCACACCTGTAATATGATCCTACCGGTTTTCCAGTATATTTTGTTTAATTAATGAATAATTAGACGAGTAACATATCTCTCTTTGTTGCGACATTAAAAAGATTGTCTAGTTTTAGAATATGCTCTTTTCGAAATCAAAATCTACAGATCTTGAAACTGCTTCTTCTGCCTACTATGCATACGCACATGCTTGGCAACAATACTGATGCTAAAAAGGCATTTACCCTACAGAAAAAATGTATCAAATACTTTTTTCAAAAAAATCGATATTTTAATCTTTACATCAATTTATATTTTGCAACAATGTCTAGCAGTTAAAAATAATATAAATAAATATCCTGTACAGTCCCGCCCATCAAAGTTAAGACCTAAATACAAATTGGAAAAAATAGTATCAAAATTAAAAATGTTAAACACGGGACCTTATTCTTTGTCCATCAAAATATGTAACGCTATTCCCGAGCATATAAAAGTAATCAAAAAATGTATGTTTTCAAAAATACCCTATATAAATAGTAATTAATGAAGCGAAATCTGCAGGGGCACCCATTACTATGAGCGTACCTCAGGGATCAGTATTAGGACCATTGATTTTTCTAATTTACATTTCTGATCTTCCTCACTTTACGAAGAATTTGAGCGAGACAGTATAATTTGCTGATGTCACCTCTTTAGTGTTTAAAGTTAAGAGGGGCAATGATTGTTTTGACGATGTTAATGATGCTCTCGACAATGTTCTACAGTGGTTTGATAATAATTTAAAGCTTAATTCAAATAAAACGAAATGCATAAAGTTTGCATTACCTAATATGAGGCATGTTAGTACCTTTATAAATATATTTTAGTTATTTTCATAGTGTAATGAATGACGTATGGACTATTTCTGTAGGGTTCTGCGGCTAGCATTCAAAATATTTTTATTCTACAAAAGAGAGCTGTCCGCGCTATATATGATTGGACGCAGTTAATCAAAAATGATCCATCCCACACAATGTCAATTTTGAGATATAGACGAATGAAGTTTAAGCTGTATTTGCATGTTGATGTAACATTTTTGTGTATTATATTTTTATCTGATAGTATAGAAAACCAATTACTTTAACAATAATAATATTTATTAAAATATAAAGGTTGAAGTATGTTTGGATCCTCTTTGATATATTTGGGTTTTAATTACCTTATTCTTACAAAACAAATCTCAAAAACAATCCAAATGAAGAAATATTAGAATAATTAACTGAAACGTCAAAATTTTATCGAAAAACAATTTATTCAAGTTTTTCTTTATATTTATTGTTTTAATTTTTAATGTTAAATGTATTCTCACTATCTAAAAACCTACATCTTTTAATAAAATTACCTTTTGACAAAAATGATTCAAGCGTTTCGAACCTTTATTGTGATTTTTAACCAAGATTAATTTGCTATTTTATTTGCTATTTTACTATATGGATCCAAGAAACTCGAGTCATTTTGATGGAATTAAAATATGAACTTACCAAAGATGTGGGATGGTAACTACCATTGAAAAGAAACGTCAAATATTTAATATAGCTCAGAGCTTTTTTCTTATATGAAAGTATCGACCCTGATGGACATTTTGGTATACTTGACTCATTTTCGACTAATTTGTGGGTTGGATTCCCTTTGAGTAACTATGTCCAATTTACGGTCTAGGGAATCCCTCAGAGAAATACTTAAAGAAATAAATATTTTGACTGTTGCCTCTCAATACGTCTATGAAAATATTATGTACGCCAGAAAACATTAGTAGGGAAAAAAAAAAAACAAATTTGGACCATTCAAAAGTGCTCGTAACGAGCTTACTTGAATAAATATATTTTCGAAGACATTTCATTTTGAAGTAGATTTTTTTTTAAATGTTTTAAGACACGGTCTTGTATATGTCGACGGGTAGTCAGAAGGGGCTATTACTAAGCCCAAATAGATCGTCCATATCGGAGGACTATCTTTAAAATAACACTGCAGGCGTGTATAACAACGTGGATTTGTTCCATTTTATCACTTTTCGTACGAAAATATAACGAGATGAGCGTGATGTTGTCGGATGTCTTTACTCCTCGGCGATCGGAAACAGAATGTGTGCCAAAATGGCGGCAACTTGTTTTTTGTTAACGAACTGTCAAAGTCGGTGTCACCATTCTAATAAAATTAAAAGTATCGTTGATCACGCTCTCTCTACAATCCAGTAATTAAGTAATCGAGTAACTAGTAATTAAAATAAAAGAAATTAAATCAAACGATCCTCGTAAAGATGATGCGACATATATAATGTGTAATATTATTATATGCCAGGACTACGTAAAGTCGATTAGTTAAGTATACTGAACAATTTTTATTATGGAAAAAAAATAATCAGCTGTTTCATGCAAAATTGCAATACCTACAGTCGTTGCCAGTATCGAGTGACGCTAAGTGTGTTGTATGTGTCGTGTGCCGGCAGCGTGGCGGAGGGCCCGGCGGGCGCGTTCTGGCGGCGCTGCGTGGGCGCGGGCGCGCGGCTGCTGCGGGGCACACTCGCGCTGTGCGCGCCGCCGCCGCTGCTCGCCGCCGAGCCGCTAGTGCTGCGCTTGCTCGGTACGCTACTGTTCTATTGGTTTACGCGCATCTGAACGGCCTCGTCGCGTACTCTTTTACACATCGCACTCTCGGTGCGACACTATTTAAAACTCTGACACCTCACAAAACAATGACTTTAGAAGATATAGATGAGATGAATCATACGGAAACTATGAGTACAAAAGTGCAATGATGTTACAAAAGTAACATCATCGCACCAAGTAAAGGGGTGCTTTAGGACAATTATTACATATTTGACTAATTTTCGTATCTTTTGCAAAAGTGACAGTGTCGTACCGGGGGTGCGATATTTAGTTTTTATTTTGGAATAAAAATGTAACACCAATAAGGAAGTATTAAAAAAAAACACTAGTTCCCGAAATTAAACTAGATGTCGCTACGGTACGTTCTTGATTTTTCCATGTCAACCCTTCCGGTTTTCTTTCAAGTTTAAAAGTAAATTAGTTCTCAAAACTCAATAAACAACTCTTATTCTATTTGTACTTTTTTGTATTTTATTCCTATCGATATGTAAGTTTCGAACTTTTTAAATTTCAGTTTTTTAATAATATGTTAGTTAAAAGGAACGGTAATAACTGTCTTTGGTCCGTTCGTTTCCTGCAAAAATCAACTTTTGCTAAAGTCGCCATCTAGTGGAGGTACTTTTTAGTGCTTTCGCAATCCGACTTTATTTAACACAATAAAATTACAAAAACAATTCTATTACAAAATTCACACTTTAACTTCACAATTTCACACTTCACAAGACTATTAGATCGTTCACCACTCTAGTTATCGATTCCGATCGCTTTTTCATTGAAAAATGCCGGGACGGGTAATCCACCGTGTATTTATAGTCTAGAATATTCTAGGTTTAGGGGCCGAATGTTCTAGGCAACCTAGAACACTCTAGATATTTCCTCGGCACTACCGGTGTATTCGAAGCATTACCAAAAAGTTCTAGAACAGCTACCCGTCCCTTTCTTCCCCAGTGACAATGTGTAGACGTACCGCGCCGCTACGCTCTGTAATAGTATTTTTAATTGGGATTATAACTACCTTCAAAATATTATATTTGTTTAATTTTGCATTCACCATGCTATACTGAAATATGTTCTTAATGAAAAAGTCCTGTTAGATTAGGTTAGTAGCTCAGTGATTAGAGCGGTCGCCCGGATTGCGAAAGGTCATGGGTTCGAGTCCAATCTTATTGTTAGAGTGCCAGAGAATTTTCAAGAGAGTATTTTTTTAAGCATTTTTCAATATAGTATTATGAACAGAGGTCGGAATTAGGTTGAGTTATTTATGTACTTGTATCGAAATGTTGATATTAATGTGGACCTTCCCGGGATTTCTTTATTTGTTTCTTTCATTGATGTAAGTCTGGCAACGTCGTGCGTGCAGTAGTTTAAATTGTGTAAAGTAAATAACTTTTTATTTAAAAAATCATGGGAGTTTTTCCACTTCATATCCACTTTCTTTCGCTGTATGAAATCAGTGTAAGTACATGAATAACTCTATCTAATTCCGACCACTGGTTATGAATGCAAAATTGATCGTATAATAAACGAGTTTATTTTAAAAATACATTTGACTTATTAATTTACACCTGGTTGCTAATCTAATCTATCACAAGTTCCAAATTCGGGACAAGCGCGATGAAACCGTTTAAAAGTTGTTTCGTTTACACATGACTCATTATCGCAGGTGATAATGAATCATGTGTCTATAGAGCATTCCCTAAACTGGAGTGGGCAAAGACGAAAGAAGCATTTTAACTGAAAATTATACTAATTTTATCATATCACCAGTGGTTCGTACCCGAAATGGTACACTAAATGACTAATAAGATTGAATGGAAAAAGCAAAATGTCATTGTAAATATTAAATCAATGGAAAGTAAATCTTTTCATATTATAGTCATTTAATTGCTATGTATCTGTGTGTACTAGACGTCGGTTTCCTCGTAGTCTACGTCTACAAAACATTTAATATCTTGTCATTGCACCGCTCAGTGGTTGATAGACATAGTTTACGGGTATTAAAAAACATATGACATGTATTTATTAGTCGATATCTTTATCATATCTCTTTGTGTAAACACCTATAGGACATTAATTTAGTTATTACACTATTGTTACTTATTATACACTAGTTTTTGCCCACGACTTCGTCCGCGTGGTAAAGTTACTTTAGCAGCATTTCTAACGAATATTTATTCATTATATCGTGTAAAATACCTCAAATAAAGTTTCTTCCATTATTTTATCCCCTTGGGGGTAGAATGGGGAGTCGGCATAAATGGGCTGGCTCGACTGGAGCGATACCACGGTTTCACAGAAAACCGACGTGAAGCAACGCTTGTGTTGTGTTTCGTCTTGTGATTGAGGGTACCGGAGGTTCAACTTCTCCCTATTCCCTTCCCTCTAACCCTCAAAACTTCCCTCCCTATGATTATATTCGTCCCTCCAAGGCCGGCAGCGCGCTTGTAGCCCCTCCGGTGTTGCAGGTGTCCATGGGCGACGGTAATCACTTACCATCAGGTGATCCGTCTGCTGGTCTGCCGCCTATCCCATAAAAAAAAAAATGATCAAAATCCTTTCTTAGCGTCATAACACCTACCTGCATGCCAAATTTCAGTCCGATCCGTCCAGTGGTTTGGGCTGTGCGTTGATAGATCACTATGTCAGTCAGTCACCTTTGAGTTATATATATTAAATGAATAAATAGTAAAAATATCGGTGTGTGAGCGCGAGCTAGGTTTGTGTTATCGTTCCGTCTGTGGTGTGTGGTGTACAGAGACGTTGTGTTGCGCTGCGGGCGCGGCGCCGGGCGTGATGGCGGCGGGCGCGGCGGCCGCGCTGGCGGACACGGTCCCGCGCGGGGGCCGCCTGCGCCCCGCCGCGCTCGCCATACTGGCCGCGCTAGCCACGCGGGTACTCGCGCGGCTGCAGTCCGACAACCCGCTGCATCTGTGAGTGTTGCCCGCAGAACACAAGGAATACAACTTCATTTTTCAATAATAATATGTTTTTTATGAAAAAGCCCCAAAACAAACCAAGCGTATTTGAACTACACGCTTTGGTGGCCATTTTAGTTATCTTATAATATTCTCTTTACAATAACCCGAGTACTAATTGGCTTTTCCTATAATTAATTGCTTAAAACATGTATACATTTATTATTTACTGGCTTTCCGCTAGCGGCTTCGCCTGCGTGGTCTTGTATTATACATAAAAATCTTCCTTTTGAACCACCCTAAAAAACCGCATCTAAATTTGTTGCGTAGTTTTAAAGAATTAAGCATATAGGGAAAGAGAAAGCAATTTCGTTTTATACTATGTAGTGATAACAATAGAAATTTCTATGTACAGGAAAGCGCTGGAACAAGTCAGGACCGTGATAGCAGAAGCGCGTGCGACGGAATGACGGATGTGTGTCGTCATATATGCACGTTACATAGACAAATTACGTGGAAGCATCTGTTATGTTGTAGACCAGATGAGTTAAATAGAACAGAACTTTTACCCAATAGGAGTGTGTTAACAATAAATATACTTGATCAGTGCGACTCATTCAATGCTTGAAACTCTTATATCAGTTGTCGGTTATTATTATAAATTAATTTTACTATTAAAACTAGCGAATCACACTGGCGCCCACCGTGGGACTCAGCTATATAACGATGTCGAAGAATCTACCGCCCGAAACAAGAAACTTTTAACTTATCAGGAACGAGCCTCATGTCTTCGGTGAAGTTTATATTTTTAACATTATGCATTATATGCATTAGACACTAAGTTAAACTTGTGTCTCCAGATTTATAATAAGATTGGCTGAGGAGAATAGGTTAAGCACATTCCCAGTTTTAATTACATTATAGCAAGCATGTACTTTGCTTGCTTCACGCAAGTAAAATATCTCACAACACTTGTTAAAATAAAATAAAACATTGGCACCTCTATTTCTATCCATATAGATTGTAATTATTTATTAATATATATTTGCAAACATAAAATGTGACTTTAATAGGGTAACAAACAATTTCAAGAAGTTTCTCCAAAAAAAAATAAAACTAATCCACAAAGAAATGGTTTGTAAAGTATCAAAACTATAAGAGCTTGAAATTAAAAAGTTTCGTATTCAGATAAATATAGTACTAGGTGCTTAGTTAAGTCAATCAGTGTGTAATGAAAAAGTAACTATAAAACCTAGAGCAAGAATTCTTCCGGAACACAACGTCTAATGTCATCCATGTTATAATATCCGGTAAATGTTGCATGTAGCTTAATTCAAATAAGTAGGCATTTTAAACAATTTTATCATGAATATCATTTTCGCACTTACCTACATGATAATGAAATATCTGTAATATTAAGATATGTATTTCGATTATTTTCTCGTTCAAAAAAAGGTTAATCTGATTATAAAACCGTGTTAATATATGAGATTTATAAGAATAGTTGGCTAGTAACTGGTCACATTGTCCCATTGGTCACATTTAGTAAAAAATAATTAATAATAAAATAATATAAACTAGGAAACTGTGGGTTTGCATTTCCGACGGAAGACCGATTTCCACGCAATGTCATATAACAGATGATGACATTGAAACTTGCACACACCACGTATTTAATTCGTAATTTTATATTAAGCTATTGAATCTTTACAAGAATAAAGTGCATTTAAAATAAAACTGTTTAAACTATTCAATTATAAATATTTCACTATCTTTGCACGTAATGTTGAGAACATTAAACTTGCACACCTCAGCGCGTTTATTTTCATGAACGCCTTGTGAATAATGTAATCGAAAATAGCAAGTTATTCATGTATACTATTTGTAAAGTAACATTAAATGATTACTTATTTGTGTGATGTAATAAAGTGGTGTAATTTTGTTAATTTGCATTTTTATTTATCTGTTGCTCTTCATATTGCTCTTATTTTTTTTTATTTTTATATTTTTGCATTAATTTCGTGGCTTTTCTAAATAATAAATCTAAGCCACGATTTAGATTCTGTTCATGTTTATAAAAAAAAACAATGAGGAAGTATTAAAAAAAATAGTTCCCGAAATCAAACTAGATGTCGCTACGGTACATTCTCGATTTCTCCATGACAACCCTTCTGTAGGCCAATTCTGCTAACGTTTACGTAATAATAGCGTGTCAATAGGATGTCAACTACTCGCATTTTGCCCTTGTACTATTTACCTGAACTCCAATATTATTATATATCTGACTCAATCGATGTGTGAGGAAGACTTTGAACTAATAACATTGAACTTTATGTAGATAGTACAATGGTAAAATGCAAGTCGTTGAGATTCTATCGAGATGCGATTATAACGTAAACATTAGCAGAATTGGCCTGCCGGTTTTCTTTCATGTATAAAAGTAAATTAGTCTTCAAAGGTCATTGAACATCTCATATTCTATTTTTATTTCTTCATATTTGTATTTCTAAGTTGCGAACTTTGAAAATTTCAGTATTTTAATATGTTAGTTAAAAGGAATGGAAATGACTATCTTTGGTGCATTCATTTCCAGCAAAAATCAACTTCAGAGTCGCCATTTAGTGGAAGTGCTTTTTTAATACTTTCTTTTCTTTGGTTTAGTGTGAATAAAACATCGTCGTTACTGCCACTGGGCATTCTATGCCGCAGACATTTCTTTACCAAGCAGACATAATTTATAGGTTGTTTTTTTCTAAAAAGTCGTGCGTTAATTGTTCCTTCTATCGGCAAATAATTTTTCAGTTAGACTTTTTTACATTAAGAAAAACAAGTCGCAACCGAAAAGTTATCTACGGGTTGCTCCATTTGTCCAATCTCCCCTCAGAGATGATATCGAATATAAACGAAAAACCTATATAACCATAGAGAGAGGTCAGAACATGTTTTTTTTTTAAGATAAACTGAATCTATAAATGACATCGTGTGGTACGGCGGAAGAGCATGTTATCACACAAAATAAGGGTGTAAAAGTAAAGTTGGTCAATTTTGATTGTGGCCCTATAGTTTATTGGCAACGATGTGTACGTTATTGTTTGACCGTACATTACGATCAATCTTTAATACCAAAAGGTGTTCAAAATAATTAAAACAAACAAGTCTCGCGTCAAAACGATTTTATTTCTTTGGTTTTATCCTAAAATAGACCTTCGAGGAAGGCTGCTGAGCCGAACCAACACATTGGACGTCAATTTTATTAAACAAATTATCCATCATGTACTGGTTTTTACTCCGAAACAAGAGAATATCACATAGTTATTTAAACTTAACATCTTCAAAGGCTAGAGATATTCAGTTATTCATGGCAATAGCAAAGAAGAGTTACTTAACAATACGGACTTAACGTTATACATTATATACACAAATGATTTACATACAAATATATTAACTATACATATAATTATAAATGAGAACTAAATAATTTTGTTGCTCCCGACAAAGAACGATAATTTCAATCCTGGACTTGGTGTACTATAAAACGATTGTGAGGTTAAATAAAGTATATTATTAATGAGGTGGGTTATTTTACATGTAAGAGGATAGATCATACATACGAATGTTCTTTAACTACAACCAAGCGTATTAACATTGTCCGAGGCAACATTATTAATCCGCATCAAATAATTAAACAGAAAGACGCCGTTTGCACTTCACGCCGACAGATAATTAGACTTTTTAGCTGAAGCTTTTAGACTATTTTAATACAAGCTTAGATGAAAATAGAAAGAGACTGTGTCATCAATCATCTGTGTGTGGTCACTGTAAATTGGATATAATTTCACTGCAGTTATGTATGTGAAATTTAGTGGCCACATGGATTACGCTTTTTTTTAGTGTGAGAAAATACACGAGAACTGACATTTCACTTCATCACTTTTCATTCGTACTTTTCGATATTATTTCGTGCGAAAGGATTGGAATATTTAGGTACTATGATTTACTTCTACTTATGATTTATTTCTACTCTGTTTGTTCATAGTTAGTGACAATATTATATATAATTCCTACAAAATGGTGACACACATTAACAAAATTTATAGAAATTGAAAACACAAAATCTTTTATACACAAAAAAAAGAGTAATTTTTACCTCGACCAGAAAAAGAACTTACGAGCTGAACTGATTAGATACCCGAATGATAAATCTTTAAGTACTCATTAGAGGCCGTCCATAAATTACGTCACACAAAATTCATGATTTTTAACCTGACGTGTGACGTAATTTATGGATGGCCCCTTACTGTGAGATAAGGTACAGACATTTTGTATATAAATCTTTATTCAATAATGAGATGGATTTGAAGAAATTACAAATTATGTGCATTGAAATTTATTTGATGATACGGGTGAAAGTTGGTAACATAATAGTTTGATATTATTATAAATATATATTTAAACTAGTTATTAACTATCGCATCACATTATTTTAATATCCAAATAGCATATTATAGAAAAAGAAATGCAGAAACGACGACACGGTCGTTTTTCAACCGGGATATAAACGGTTTTGTGAGATAACATAATGTGAGTATACTTCAACTGGATATTAGTTTCATTTAAATTATGAAAAGAAATGAAAGTTATTCTACTTGTTCCAATTTTATACCTAATTCTACATCACCGGTATCAGCAAAACTATTTCAATGCATTTTTAAATTGAATAAGGCTTTGTTTAATGTGTCAATTCTCATTGCAAGATAGAAGTTAACAATATAGGCAAGCGTCTTCAAAAGATTTTTTTTAATGCTGGCTGAAGGATTCTAAACTAATACATAATTAACATATTTTGTTAATAATAATAATTTTTTTTTTCAATATAATGGTCAATTTTAAACTTACGTTAGTTACTCTAAAAGGACGTTCACGTGTCCTTGAATGATTTTACACGTCGCTATCCACGAATTAACGGCAGCTGCCTAATCAAATTCTTGTTAGAACAAAAATAAACATGTATTTTATTATTAAATATTAGTACACTAATTTCGAGACTATAATATTGCTATAAAGTGTTTCATTAGTTTAACATAACTCACATTAAGAGCCCCTGAAAAAAAAATGCATTTTTTTTCAATATGGCCTATTTTTATTAAAACGTCGTAATTTAGTATTAGGCTGCCACTGCAACACTTATTATTGCACCATAGCATTAAAAACTCCCGATCCTGCCATATCTTATAATTAATTATAACTATACAATTTCACATAATACGGTTTACACTTCAATACAAATTCACACCTTTAATTAATTTGTTATAACAATGTATTTATTATATTCATGTAACCTATTAAACAAAAAAAAAGCTAAGGCGTGTCTTTATTTATAAACAAATAATATATATTTACAGTCAGATATTAAAACTTTTATTTCGCCACCACTCTGTTATAATATTTTTAATTATACTGTATCGAAAATTTAAATTATTAATACCTATTTGATTCCCAGATTACAAAATAATGTATTTGAAGAACAAGTTTGGAAACTCTTAAATTTTAATTCATGTTATAGTCGGAATAAAAATTCATAGTTAATTGGGGTACTGGCTTGGTTTTTCAGGACTGATAAAAGTTTGTTCAGAAATCTCCTGTGTAACCGTTAAAAACTATGGTGTTGAGTTAGTTTGTTCCTAATATACATAGGGTGTGACATATACACAGAAAGAGACTACAATTTCTACTATATAATGTTTAAAACGACTTATATAGTTGTCTAGGAATCAAACTGAATTTCGGACTATATAATTCTGTGATGTAATTCATGTATTATCATAGATCGAACCAAAGTTATTCCTGTTTCGATCACAAGTTAGTATTATTTAATGCAATGCACTTTAAAATGTACATAATTGGAAGAATAACTTATCACTGGCTCACTCACCTCACGTACAACCTTTTAAGGTGACGAAGCCAATTGATTTATCAATTTGTTGGTACCGTCTTTTAACACTTAGTTTCACCGATGCATTCAGCAGATAGAAGGTCTGGTGATGATGCTCGGGTTCATTCATAATTGGAGGTGATGGGGTGATGAGTCACGTTGCGCGGGTAACGCTGCCACACCTGTACAATATCTATATATTAAAAATTTTGTACCCCTTTTTACGAAAATTGCGAGGAGTATGAAATTCGGCACGGAGTATGAAATATAATAAATTGCAAACCCAACAGAAATACTCGAACAACATTTCATAATTTTAAAATAATCTAGAACTTATCTGTAAGTTGTAAGTCTTTAGTATAAGTAGAAATACAACCGGTTTCTGGATTGAGAATTTAAAGTTAAGCACGTCTCGAATCGTATTTAAGCCATCTAAAACGTCACTTTTAACAGATTTTCGTTTCTGATTTGAATTAATGAATAGTAAAAAAATCAGTTATTGAGAATAATGAATTGAGATATTTCTTTTTATAATATTTTATAGATAAAATTTTTTAATTGTTCTTTTTATGTTATAATTTAATTGTTTTTAGATAATTTTTAATTAGTATATTTACCAAAATATTTAACAACGATAACGCTGGGACGGCGCTGTAAGCCGAAGTACAGTAATAAATTAGTTCGGCTACTCTCTTGTATAATTAATTAGTTATCGTTTTAAAATGCTTAATTTTAATATTTTTTCCAATTTACTTTTTTTGTATTTTGGCTTTGTGTAAATAAACAAAATAATAATAGGGATGACGACTGGGTAAAAAAAAAGTTGAGGTGTGGGTGCTCGTTACGTCACAGTTGAGTAGAAAACGTACCATAACGTGACGTCATGCGAAATTTCAACTCCATGTTACGCCGTAATTTTATGATTACGAAAAAAAAAATACGTGTTTAATATTTTTTAACAGGTCAGGTAGACTGACGGATAAACAAACAAAAATTAGTCATCATCCCTATTATTATAGATTTTGAACTTTTCTCAATTCAGAAACCGGCCGATAGAGACGCATGTATTACCTATCTGTGCGTGTTGCTCCGTGTTGATGGATCCCTCGGAGCGGAGGAGCGCGGGCGCGGGGGCGGACGCGGGGGAGGGGGAGGGGGAGGGGGAGGGGGCGGGGGCGGGGGCGGACGCGGGGTGCGAGCGAGAGCGCGTGCGTCTTGCGTTTCGCCTGGCGCGCCTCTCGGACACGGCGCGCGCGGCCACCGGCGGCAACAGCGGCGCCGTGTCATCTGATCGACCCCTTAACATACCAGAATAACATTGCTTTATCTTGAACGCGATCGACCGACATTGTAATAAGCTTGTTGACAACTTTTTATATTATTTTATTAATAAATAGTCCAATAATATCTAAAAAATAATGTAGAAGTAACAGCACTTCTGCGATTATTAGTTTCGGAGATAAAAATTTGTGGAACCGCTGCTAGTCGACCGGAAACGCCCTCTACAAGTTCAAGTCACTAAGTTACGTCACACAGTGCGCAGTAGTAGCGAAAAACGTACGGGCGTCTGGGCAATCTTTGTTATTTGTGCGTTTATGTTTATAGTTGTTATAATGAAAGGTTTATGTTTTATATTACTGATTTAATGCCTTATGCATTTTAGTAGATTGCAAGATGCTGTATCGTAGGGCTGTGTAGTTGCTGTGGTTACAGGGGATGATGTGGATAAATTCCTTGGAAGTGTATCAGAACTTCCAAGGATTTATCCACTTTACCAAATGGAATAATGTCGTCCTCATTTTATTAAATACAAAATACTGACTTGTATCAATCTACATTCTTAAAACATGCAAATTCGTGAGGAAACACCGATAATTTTATACATCTATAACAGGTATTAAGAGAAGCAATAGATATTTAAACAAATTAAAAAAATTCTCTAAATTAGCAATAGTCTCGTCTGGCCCGCAAGCTAAGTTAATAAAAAATTATAATAATATACCAAACTATATTAAAAATAAAGAAACATATATCATACAACAAAATAATGACCATCTTACAATTATAATGTGATATGCGAAACTAGGTTTTTATACATTTTTTCTGTAATAAGTAAAAAAAAAGAACTACCACTCTACCAAAAGTTGATTTTAGCAGGAAACGAATGGACTAACATATTTTGAAAATTAATTTACTTTTATACACGAAAGAAAACCGGAAGGGTTGTCATGGAGAAATCAAGAAAGTACCATAGCGACATCTAGTTTGATTTTGGGAACTAATATTTTTTTTAATCATTAAAAATGTATGAAATCAAGCGACTCGATATTTTTCTGGACGTAGAGGGCTGGTAATGATTTAATATCGGCGTCGACACAAAACCGGTATGTGATAGTGTGAATAGCTTTATATAAAATGCTCTGCTACTGGTACCCCAGATTTGCTATACCAAATATTTCAAATCATCGGCCTTTTTACTTCCCCACGGCAGGGGCTGAGGTCTTCCTTATAGTTTACCCTCCACGCTGGCCCCATGCGGATTGAAGGGTATTAACTACTGCAAATGCAGCCCAGACCGACGGCTTAACGTGCCTTCCAAAGCACGAGATAAGTTTTTGGTGAACGACCCTTGCGGACGTTGCTTACAAATTATCGCGGACAGCGGCGCTTATCCACCACGCCACTGACTTTTTTTTAAAAGATATTGATAAAGAACAAAAATGAACTCACTCTCCGTTCTCGTCGTTGGCAGGAACAGATTCTTGTATTCGTGGTCTTTCCTGAAATATAAATATTTATTAAGTGATAAATTATATACGAGGGTCAAACTGAAAGTTCTTAGAACTGGCCACTTATAAACAATATAATAAAAAAATAATTCTAAAATTTGAAAATATAACTCTTTGCCAATATTACTGAGTATATATTTCATTCATTTGTCATTTGTTTTACGATTTGGCGGCAAATTGAAAATTGTCTGTGTCACGTCATCATGAATTTAACACGAGAAAATTTTCGTGCAATGATTTTTTATGACTTTCGATGTCATTTAAGTCAACAAGAAAGTTATGATAGACTACGATTGGCCTTTCACGATGAAGCCCCATCTCGTGCGACTGTTTACAACTGGTTTAATGAGTTTAAACGTGGTCGCACTAATCTCACTGATGATTTACGTGAGGGACGGCCTTCTACGGCGACGACTGAAGATAACATCTGTGTTGTGCGGCGTATGATAGAGACTGACAAAAGAGTGACCTATCAACAGATTCGGACAAGCTTAGGCATCGGTATGAGTCAAGTGCACAAAATCCTCCACGAACATTTAGCGGTCAGGAAGCTTTGCGCCCGGTGGATACCTCATAATTTGACTGAGGCTCAAAATCTCCATCGTGTGGATTGGTGTCGTAAAATGATTGAAAGATTTAACGGAGGTGACTCAAATGTTGTGTTCGACATACTAACAGGTGACGAAAGCTGGATTTACTGTTATGATCCTAAAACCAAAAGACAATCTGCTCAGTGGGTGTTTCCTTTCGAGGAGTTGCCAACTAAAGTAAAGAGAGATCGAAGTGCGGGAAAAAAATGGTGGCCTCGTTCTTTGGAAGGATAGGTCATTTTGCAACAATTGTGTTAGAGGATCAAAAAACAGTTTCTGCAGAATGGTACACTACCAATTGTTTGCCACTTGTCTTGGAAAAAGTTCGAGAGAAACGACCTCGCAGTAGGATCCTCCTTCACCACGACAACGCCTCGTCGCACACCGCCAAGCGAACGATCGACTATTTGGCGACATCAAACGTTGAATTACTGGGTCACCCGCCGTATAGCCCCGACCTCGCGCCTTGTGATTTTTATTTATTTCCAAAAATTAAAGAAAAACTTAAAGGAAAGCGGTTTATGAATGCTGAAGAAGCGGTGGCTGCGTATCGCGATGCCATTGAAGAGACCCCTAAGGACGAGTGGGCAAAGTGCTTTTCCCAGTGGTTCCATCGCATGCAGCGGTGTATTGACGTGAATGGACAATATTTTGAAAAGATATAATAAAACTAATAACTGGCTAATGTAATCAGTTTTTGATTTTCTAAGAACTTTCAGTTTGACCCTCGTATAAAGCTTGATGCGTCTTTAACTTTATATTTTTAGTATCTTAACCCTAAAATATTTTATTTTAACATGTATATTTTGCTCCTGTCATGCTTCTTCAGGAACCATATCCTAGTATTTAATACTCAAGCATAGTAGTGGTAATTAATACTTAAACTTGCCGACTGTGTAATGCCATATGTATGAGAAATAATATTATAGTTTTCTTTCTAATGACAGTGCCTTCTCAAGCAAATCGTCAAGGAAATATATTTTTACAAGGCGGACTCGACGCCTTAGGCGTCCTCTAAGTAGTAATATATATATTTATTGTTCATTATAAATGTTATTAATTTTGTCTGATATGTATTGTTTGATGTACGAGGGTGGTTTGAAAAGTTCTCGGCCCGACCAACAAAACAAAGAATATATAAATTAAAACATATTTTATTTTTGTCTTAATACAATAATACCCTTGTCTCAATACAATGGCACTTGACATATGGTTAAATAAAGAATCAAGCTGTTGAATGACAATAAATTAGTTTACATACTTCCCTCAAATCTCGGTCAGGCCGAGAACTTTAAAATCAATCTGTATCTAATAGGGATGATGGCTAATTTTTTTATTTGTCTGTCCGTAGGGTAGATTATATTTAAAACGTGTCTTTTATATTTTTTGCGTAATCAATAATCTTTGTACATTTTCTACAAAGTTATGACGTAACGAGCCCCCACTCCTCAACTTTAATGCCTTTTATCCCAGTAATTTCTCGTTTAATTCTAGCAAAATAAAAATACGTATCTAATATTTTTCTATTATCTAACTTGCGGACTAGATAAAAAAACCTTTTGCCCTATTACTTTATTGTTTACCCTGCAGGGTAGGCAGAGAATATCGACACTGCAAAGCAAACACGTAGTAACTTGCAAAACCAAAATGGATATTTAAAGTGGAAAATCTTTATATTCTTCCAAAAAAAAAAAAATCCATATAAATTGACTAGGGAACACTTTATTTGTTACCATGGACGTTTACAGGTATTATTTATTGAAAAAAAAAAGTTTATCTGCTAAGTAGAACACCTTTGGTTCTGCGGGTTATTACGTGTTTGCTTTCCAGCGTGGATACAATAATGCATATACCTCGTCGTCGTCTGGCTCGTCACGGCCGCGCAGTCGCCGCGCCATCATGCGGGCCGCGCGCTGGAAAGGGTTCTCGCGTTGTTGCTCGAACGTGCCCCCCTGGCGAATGTATACAACATATATGTATATATGCTTGTTTTAAAACATTTCAACACCAGACGAATGCTTGTACTTGAAATGGTCCAGTAACTGGGTCGGTGGATCTTTTTTTTTCTCTATTTATAATGGTAACGTAAGATTGTTTTGTGAATGTCGTTACTTTCATTAGTTTCATTGCGAGACAGTCCAGAGAATCTCTCAGACAAATATTCATCAATATAATATCAGAAGATCATTTCTGGGTAAATGCATTGCTATGTTAGTTGACCTACCCATAAATAAATTTAAAATTCATCTAAAGAACATACTTATGAGTAAAGGCAAAATTATAAAGTTGATGATTATTTTAAGGATCGCAATGCATGGAATTAATAGCCTTCTCTTTCTTCTATAAAGACTAATTATATGTTCAACCTATGTCCTATAGACTTTGAAAGTTGTATTTATTATTGTGATAATACATATTATTTTGGTAATGATATGATTTATATAAATGTCGTTACTTATGATAAAGAGCTGGTAAGTTTCTTTCGCTTGTTCTTCGTGTCAGCTAAAAGACGTCTTAAACAAGACGAGTGACCTAGTATATAATTTTAATACTTGAGACCGTACTCTAGTAACTATGGTTACCGCGCGCCCGAGCCTCCGACCTCGCTGTATGCCCTTTATGAGGGCTTACGACAAGTACGCAGTTAGTAAGAGTTGCATATTTATGAGGTAATTTTGTAATTACTGATTGAAAAACATCCCCTAATTTGGGTGTACACGTGTGGGCTGAGTATAAGTGTGTAGTGAACCCACGTGGGCGGCGTGTGTAGTGTACGTGTATAGGCGGCGTATGTAGTGTATCTGCGTGTGAAGCGTAGTGTAGCGTACCTGCGTATGTAGCGTAGTGTAGTGTAGTGTACCTGCGTGGGCAGCGTGTATAGTATAGTGTAGTGTAGCGTACCTGTGTGGGCGGCGTGTATAGTGTAGTGTAGTGTAGCGTACCTGCGTGGGCGCGGGGTCGCGGTCGTCGAGCAGCGGGTCGGTGTCGTCGGAGTCGTCGGAGTCGCGTGCGGCGCGCGGCTCGCGCTCGCCGACGGTGAGCACGCGGCGCTTGCACACGGGACACACGCGACGGTTCTGCGTCAGCCACGGGTCCACGCACTTGGCGTGGTACGCTGCAATACAACGCATCGCCGTGTAAAAAACTATTTAAACAGTTAAAATAAGTGCCGATACGCTTTAATTTGACGGTGTCGGTATTTACTTTGTTCGGGAAAATTTGCAGAATACACAGCGACGCAAGATAATATTTGAACGTGTTCGTTCCTGTCGATGATCTACCGGCGTGCTCGTGAGTCGCAGTACCGAGTTGCATAATAACTACTGTTTGACAACTTTCCACACTAGCGATGGCATCTAGCATTTTTTTTTTTTGTTCAAAATGCTAATCTAGTGTAGCGAAATGAACCTTAGTATTCAAATAACTGTAGTGGCAGAATAATTACGAGCAGTTTATTTGCTGTTACTTTAAATCGCCGATATAAATTCATTCTTGTTCAATAAAAAAATCATTATAACTAAATAAATAAAGTATAAAAAATAAAAGTGACGTCAAACTTTAAAAAGTGGTAAATTAAGCGACTTATTCAAGAAAATGCTATTGTAGTCGGATGAATAGACGCCCGACTTCAATGGCATTTCTTGAATGAGTCGCTTTTAGATAAGTATTATTTATCACTTTTTTATGGTTTGAAGATGGTTCTATCTTTTTAAAGCTTTTATTTCATGTTTTTAATGATATTCATATTTTATATAAAAAAAATTACACTAAAAATATGAAATATCACAATATAAATAAAAATATTCACCACAGTGAAAATCATAGAAAAGTTATACGATTTTTTCGTTTTGGCATAATCTGGATATCGAGTTAATTGGAAAAAAAAGACACAATCCAAAAATGGCGAAGATTTTGAATCCTTAATTGCTCCACAAATATATCGGCAACTCGCGGAATGTAAGTGTACGGCGAATGATCGTACAGACCAATCTAATCGATAAACAATTTATTGATATTAAATGATATGTTAAGTTACAATATTTAGTACAAGCGACGAATGCAAATTGTGAACTAAAAACATTGAATCAACACAATGTACGGTGTTTCACCGTGCAGTACGGTATACGGTACCAATCCTACCATATAGCCGACCGCACAGTGCGTTGTAACTGACCGTGTGCGCAGGGCAGCACGCGCAGCCGCTCCCCCTCCTGGTAGTCGTCGAGGCAGATCGCGCACGTCTCGTACGGGTCGCCCTTACTGAACTTGCACGTCGGAATCTTCTTCAGCGATCTGTTGGGGAGCCGGTGACGACGCGCCCGCCTCCTGTCCTTGATGCACTTCACTATCTGCGTGCCCAACGGAGGGGTTCATGTTTTTAATCCGTTTGACCTCAACACTTAGGGCCATATTGATTTATTAGGTTGGGGAAAAAGTATGTTCGCACATAATATGCATTAACTTGTAATAATATCTTTCTAGTTACACCATTTGTATCTAGCTGGTCTAAGTATCTTTTTAAAAAAATCAAATTTTAAAGAAGATAACTTCGAACTTAAATTGGGAAAATGTGTGATTTTCTTTTGTTTTCTCACTGTCAAAATGAGTGAAACTAATGAAGAAATTCGATACATTTTATTACAAAAAAAGGAAATTTTGATGTCAAAGATGCACGTGGCTGCGGTCGCAGTGTTACGTATAAAATGGATGCAATTCTTTTTTCAAGTGGAGCAAGATCGGCATATCAGTATTTACGACGTAGCTGAAGAACTGGAGATCGACTACAAAACAGTTTTGAAGCATTTGAAAAAGCTGGGTACTTAAAAAAGTTGGATATTTGGGTACCCGCGAGCTCATTGAAAGAAACCTAATGAACCGTGTACTCATTTGTGATTCCTTACTGCGGCGTAATGAAAAGTGCATCACGTATGACAAGAACGTGCGAAAAGGGTTGCGGTCAAAGGTCGGTCAGGCTTCACAGACTGTGGCGAAGCCCAAGTAACTCGCAACAAGGTGATGCTGTGTGTATCAGGGGATTGGAAGGGCATTATTCATTATGAGCTGTTACTGCCAGGCAGGACCATTGACTTTGAACTCTAGTGCGAACAACTGACGAGATTAAAGCAAAAAGTTGAGAGAAAACGGCAAGAAATATTCAATAGAAGTTGTGTGGTTTTTCATCATCATAATGCTAGACCTCACACATCTTTTGCCACTCAGCAAATATGAAGAGTTTGGCTGCGAGGTGTTAATGAATCCGCCGTATAGTCTTGAACTTGCACCTTCATATTTCCACCTGTTAGATTAACGTCACGCGAGGACTGCCAAAACCACAGAACATAGAGAGAGATAGAAGTATAATGATATTAATTTTGTATGGGAACCGAGTGTCGCCTCTTCGCACACAAATGCAGATTAGATAAAATAATCATTTTGTTCACTACATGAAAAACCGCCACGCGATACGTTCGCGATAACATAAACAAAATTCCAAAAAGATACTAAGCTAAAAAATCACACGATTAAAAACAAACTCTAATTTAACGTGATAATAAATAATTTACTTTAACATAAATGTTGAACTGTCACGTGACTGTCCAACTTGTATACGGGGATACCAATAGGGAAAAAATATTTTAAGATGATGCACATTTTAAAAAATTGGGGACATCATTTTATGTGCGAACTATTTAGATTAGATTTTGCTGTAACCAAGTGAATAGTGAAATATAACGCTTTTCCCTATATAATTTAATAAAATATCTGATAAAAAACGCAGTACAAAAACTAAGAAAACTTAATGATAAACTCTATCATTTTTCAATAAGACTTCTCTGTGTGAAATAAAACAGGGAGAAAAAAAACAGCCCTTGCTGAGTTTCTTGCCGGTTCTTCTCAATACAAGGTCTCCCGCTGTAATTTTGCGAACCGATGGCGTAGTTTTCGACTTTCACAAGTGCTCTGTAAAAGCCTAAACTGAATAAATAAATTTTGATTTTGATCATATGTCTGTGGAGTAATATAATTAGGCGAGGGAAAGTGTAAAAAAAAAAACAAAAATAAGAAAACAACAGATTTTTTGTATTAATCACATTAAGCCTAATTTTTTTTTCTTACTGGTATCATTCCGATTGTGCATATTAGTGATGGGACATAATATTAGTTGATAAAATAAGAGCTTTAAATTTTGTTATTAAACAGTTAAATGTAATTTAGTTCCACAATGTTCTACAGTGGTTTGATAGTAATAATATAAAGCTTAATTCAAATAAAACGAAATGCATAAAGTTTGCATTACCTAATGTGGGGAATGTTAATACACTTATAAATTTAAATAGTGAAAAAGTTGAGTTGGTGGTATCGACCAAACTTCCTTAGTTTTACACTAGATTCCCGACTGCAATGGGATCCTCATACTGATAATTTGTCAAGTAGACTGAGTTCTGCAGCATTTGCTGTTAAGAAAATTAGACTCTTGACAAATGATGAAACGGCAAGATTGGTATATTTTAGTTATTTTCATAGTGTAATGACGTATGGTCTATTGTTGTGGGGTTCTGCGGCTAGCATTCAAGATATTTTTATTGTACAAAAGAGAGCTGTCCGCGCTATATATAATTTACGGTCTAGAGAATCTCTCAGAGAAATATAAAAAAAAAAAATTTGACTGTTGCCTCTCAATACATCTATGAAAATATGAGTACGCAAGAAAACATTACGATTCCTTCACAAAAAAAAGTAGTGTTCATAATCTTAACACAAGAAATAAAAATAAACTTGCCGTTCCAAGCTTCAGACTTCAGAAAACCAGAGAATAATTTCTGGGTAAATGCATTGCTATGTTCAATAAAGTTCCACAAAATGTAGTTGACCTACCCATAAATAAATTTAAAATTCATGTAAAGAATATACTTATGAGTAAAAGCTATTATAAAGTTGATGATTATTTTAAGGATCGCAATGCATGGAATTAATAGCCTTCGCTTTATTCTATAAATACTAATTATGTGTTCAACCTATGTTCTACAGACTTTGGAAATTTATTTATTATTGTGATTTGATATGAAATGACATGATTTATGTAAATGTTATTACTTATGACAAAGAGCTGGTAAGTTTCTTTCGCTTGTTCTTCTTGTCCTGAACAAGTGGTAGGGGAAAAAATTTTTTTGGACGAATCAAAAGTGCTTGTAATAAAGATATTTTCATTTCTTTATTACAAGCACTTATTATTTATAGCACATCAGAATTTTTTAATATCTATCTGCGTGTAATTAATTAACTGAATCTTCGTAAAAAAAGTGCCTGGATAGTTCATTATTTCATTTGTTCAGTATAAGTTCATCTATTATTTTCTCTTGTAAACAGTATTATTTAGTTTTATATAATTATGGCATATACTTATCCATAACGTTGTTATGAAATAATGAAAGAAAAGCTCTAAATAAATATGTTTTAGTTATCGATTACGATCCATATAATTAACACTATCTATCGGTACATTTCAGACAAATGGAGGCACAGCACTATTTTTTGCAAAAGTGCACAAAATGATTTACATTGTTGTCTAGTAGTGGGGTCAGAAACATTGATGTTGGTTTGAGCAATCAATGTATATTTTATTTGACATTGTGTCAAATTATTACGTTTTTTATATTTTAGCACTAAAATTGTATTTACCAGTGAAAGGAAATGTTTGCATTAGTTGGATTGTATACTTTGCTTTGCTTTTTGCAAGTGATAATAGCACAAAACGGTATTTTTTATAGAAAAAATCTGTAAAATCACCACTCGACGATTGACGAACGACTGGCAAACGTAAAACCGAGGAAAGGGCGTCATATGAGTAAAAGCGCATATGCCAGCCACGCTTGCCCCGCCCACTTACTACTTCTAATCTCTCTCTATGTTCTGTGGCCAAAACCACTTGCCGCAGTTTTTGATCATGGGATCATGTCCCTACCCACAGGATGGCAAAAAGTAATCGAACAAAATGGTACCTACATACTTTAGTTAAATGTAAATAAACTTTATTAAAAAGTGTTTTGAATTTTCATATAAAATGCGAAGAAACTTTTTCCCCAACCTATTTGCAAGGATTTCCTAAGCCACCGACACATTAACTTAGAGCAATTTTGTTCAATACTGTATTTTCATAATGTATATGATTAACAATATAAAGAGAAAGTTATGTTCATATGATATGATATGAATATTCTTTATTGCACCATGGAAAAATCCATAAGTCACATTAAACGAGATATAGTACCACAAAAGGCGGCCTTATTGCTAAGGTTTATGAATATTAAAAAAGATTCAATAACACAATTTTGATTAAGTTATTTAAAATTGTCAAAATTCTTCTATAGAATTCAAGTCTTAAAATTTTTGAAACTAATATTTATAATTCGATTGCGGAAGTCGCTTGAAAGACATAACGTTCCAACGCTACGTATGCGTACATGGTTAAAACTAGCAAAGGTACTGACCATAAATATGAGTATGACGACCAGACAGAGAGCGACCACAACAGCGAACGGTAACAACAGATGCGTGTTGATGTTGAACGGAAGATCGCCGTTCACCATTATATAGTACCTGTCGAACAAAACGCACGTATTTAAAGTGCACAACTGGATGTAAAGTCAACAGAACGCCACATTTTACAGATCTGTCAAATTCTTGACTTGATTATTTTGCATTCACAATGCTATACTGAAAAATATTCTTATTAAAAATGCCTATAAAATTCACTTTGTCCCTGGCACTCTGAGATGGTACCTACTCGAACCTACGACCTTTCGCAATCCGGGCGGCTGCTCTAACCACTGAGCTACCCAGGTCCTAACAGGACTTACAAATATTTTTAAGCACTTGTTACTTTTTCGTTACTGGTTACTTTTTCAGGGACAAAGTGGATTTTTTTAAGAATTTTTAATTAAGAATATTCTTCACTTGATGTTAAATCTCGATGCATTGAGGGCAGAGTTAAAAATCAATGGGTTTACTACTCTATTTTAAATAATACTTGTAACTGTTTATTTAATTAAAAAAAGCTTTAAAGCAAATATTTCCGAAAAATAAACACATTTTATTGCTTTAAAATTCAATCAAAATTTAAACTTTTTTATACCCGCGAAAACGCTGTCCGTCATATTCGTGACGTCACTGTGTACACAAATACTTAACTCTATGCACAAAACAGATACATAGAGTACAAGATTGTCAATAAAACAAGAACAATGCCATGTAACGATCGATTTATAATTTAATAGGCATATATTTATGACTAATATGTGTGATAGATATTTGATTTTATTTTACTTAACACATTATACAGCCAACAGCATTTAGAGTTATCCAAAACTGTCAAAAATCTACAGATAAATCTAAAATTAAGGTTTAATGTCACAAACGTCCATTAAGGTTTAATAACGCCTATAAGCTCTAATGGATGTCATATTTGTACAGGTAATGTCGCTTTAAACTAAAGACAATTTTAATAGACGTCTGTGCATCTGGCTGTACGTCACTCAAGTTTCTAATTGAATGCGGCTTTATGACCAATTTTTCTAAACATTTGCAAACTGACAGTACTTCACTAAAGGTGTGATATGTTTATAGCGACAGTATCAATAAGAGCACGCATACACTGACCCCTTAGTGTAGACGTATTTCTCGGCTAGCTGCCGGCCGGCGACGTCGTTCACGAACACAGAGGGAATGTCGATACCCTCAGGGTTCTTCGCGGACATCGTCTCTGCGAATAAATATTATACATCATAAATAAACTAATACATTCGCGTTTGAAAACAAAGAGATTATTTATATAAATACACGTAATACCGCATTCTTTGTTAAAATCTAAAAAGTGCTTGATGAATATTTATTTAGATGGTAGAACCATGTAAAAGATAAAGCAAACCCCAAAATTCGTAATATCACTTTCAAAACTGTATAATTTATCGCCTATAGTAGGAAAAGAGCTTTCGTCTCATGTGGCTTTTAGCACTTCATCTTTCTACATGTGTGCAAAATGAAAAAAAAAAATCGGGCACATACAATGTCTATACACTCACTGACATTTCACATTAAATTATAATATGAAATTTAAATAACGTTAATTTAAGAAACAACTTTCCTCAATTTTGTAAAAAAGTATGTAACAGTGAATTACAAATACTTTAAAGTTACACCGAATTGTTTATAACATTAAAAAGGACAATTAGAATAGTAAATCAAAAAATTATTTACTCACAGTGTGAGCTCCATATTATCAGTTTTAATTGAAAACACTCTATCGAACTGCTGAGTGCCGTTACAATTGAATAAATGCGATAACAAGTAAACACGGTAATGATAAACACCGGTACTGCTCCGCTGCACTGTTAATTTTATTTTTATTTATCACCGTAGGGATGTCAATTATTTATATATAGCATTCCATCTTATCAATTGGAAATTAATAAGTTAAAAGATCCGAAAAAGATTCGCGAGAAAAGTAACGGATACGGATCTTTATTTTCCGTCGGATATCCGCGGATACAGATACGAATATCCGGAACATCACTAATTGGAACTTACTGAATTCCACATTACGAGTTTGTAAGAAAATTTGGTGCCCCAAAATATAAAAATCGACCATTGTTGGTTTTTTTTATAGGTTAATACTTATAACACTAGTGCAATAGATTTGTCGCTATTATTTGCTTCTTGAGTAATGTGGTGGGGATATGAGACTGTTCACTATGTCATGACGTCAAAAGTGGGATGTTTAATGACCAATGCTCAGTAAATTATATAAATATTGTATTTACTTGCACATTTTGTTTAGTTGAACTCGAAGTATTAATATATGATACGTAATATAAATCAGTGGACACCCCTATTTGGTACACACATTGTTTATAGTACAACATTGTAACAAATATTTTTATATGCCATTAATAAGTAAACTTACACTTAGAATAACATTATTAGTAAAACATAAATAATGTTTTCTTAAAAAGAGCTTTGTTTGTAAGCAAATGGAAATCAACCAAAGCTTAGTTGGACATCAGTTACAAACGTGCGAGTTCTTCAACTCGAAAACCAAAGTGTTAATGCAAATGAACATGAAACAATATCGCACACCTAGATCTAAACCGAGACAACTCAAAAATTTGAGTAAGTTTTGACTTAGTACAATATTCAAATATTCAGATTCAATAAAGGTTCGGGGATGAGGCGCTAGATAATTTTAGCTTTCTTTTTTGAATCAACAGTGGTCGCGCTCCTGCCACATAAACAAATGTATTTTGAGTCCCTCCACATTAGTTTTTTGAGTTGTCTTAGTTTAGATCTAGGTGTGCGATATCATACATATACTAAAAAATCACGTGTCATTATTGGTTTGAATGAATATTACTTGACTCGAGCCGAAAGACAATGGCTACTTAACAGTTATAATAATTGTAACTTATAAATATGTAAACAAAAACTTTGCAGTATTTTTTTATATAAAATAAATTGTAATTAAATTTTTTTTTTTTTTGCAAAATAAACATGCGATTTATATAGTCTGTGGATTACGAGGACTGAAACGCGGACCGCCATAATAGGGCGTCGTGTGACGTCACATAACATTACGACGTAGACAGAGGAAGCATCGCAACCGTAGGTTCTCATATTTACATATTGCATTCTGACGTCACGGCTTTAAATGTTACATAATTGATTGTTTATTTTTGGGGTGTGGACATACGCTTAGAGAATGAATAAGACATTTTTATTTATAAAAAAAACATTAGCTTATTTATTATTAAAAAAAAAAACTGTGCAGGTGATCTGCGATAGTTATGAACAATGGGGTCTATTTAAGTAGTCCATTTTTCGATCAGTATTTGATAATGTTATCTTTGATATGAGTAATAAACTCAAACATCAATATACATACAGAGCTTTCCTATATAAATGTAATTATAATTATGGCATATATGCAGTCATGTATGTTGATTAATTAAATATATATAAAGTTAACACGAAAGTTTATACATGTTTGAATCCCATTGCAAGCACACGAGACAGGCGGCTTTTAAAGTATTTTTCTATATAATTAAGATATACGACAACAATACAGCACTGTAAATGTCAAGTATTTATCATATACAACGAAGGTGATGTATTACCTAAATCTGATGAGTTAACGTTGTGCACAATGGCGCAGTCGTAACCGGCCGTCATCGCGTTACGCACCTTCACCTCAAAACTGCAATTGTATCTGGATCACAAGGAAACTATAATTAATACAAACTGACTCAATGAATAGGAAAGTAAAAATAACGCGGCAGGTAATTGGAACCAAGATGGCGAGTGCAGTAGCATATTTTAGGTTCTCAATGGTGCGGGGGTGAGATGAAGCGTGTTCGATATAGAAAATGGACATTTATATGAGGCTAGTCTCGGTATTAGGTACTTTCGTTGTCTTAAATACTCCATAGTAAGAAGGCGTTAGCTACACATTTTGGAGTCTGAACAATGTATGGTATGTTGTCTGATTAAAAAAAATAGAAAACCACATTTTCTATATAGTTCCGACAAAAGTATATATACCTGCCGACAAGTACGATCCATCTGTCGGTGAAATTGTCGGCGGTGGGAGGGGGGGCGAGCTTGCCGCAGCCGTCTGCCGGGTCACCCACCACCAGAAACCCGCGCAGACCTTCCAGGGGCAGGTCCGGTCCGAAGCTAGCGGGTATGTCGCGGAACTCATCCTCTATCTGTCAAACACCAGATCAATATGATCAAATGCTATGACTTATTATATGTAGTCTATTCTAGGGCAGACGAAACATAGTTTTACCGGTTTTCAAAACGAATCGAATGTAGTTATTAAAAAGACAATGACCCAAAGTATTATGTGAGCGTTGAAAGGGAATCGCCATCCATAGTTTTCTACGATAGGTCGCTAACCCCCACCCGATAAACGATACAGATGTCTATGGATAGCGATACGTATCGCGTACTTTCAGCACTGGCATAATACTTTAGGTCATTGACCGTTTTGCCGTCTGATCTGGGAACAGACTGTACCTACAACCTAATTTATTAGATATATCAGCAGATATCCATCATGTTAAGTAAGTGTTGTACGTCAATAAAAATTATTTATACATGAATTGACATTATAAATTGTAAGTATCATGTGTTTATGACTAATTTTTGTTGATCTGTTCGTCGGGTAGATAGATTTTTGAAGAATATTAAAGACTCTTTTTTTTTTGCGTAATCATTAAATTAAGGTGACAAATTAAGTTGAAATGTCGCGTGACACCTTTGTAAATTTTCTACACAGTTGTGACGCAGCGAGTCCCCGCTCCTCAACTTTAATGCCAATTATATATAACCTAAACCTGTGACAGTTTATAATTTAACGAGACCGATAATAACCTAAGGATGATTACAATTTTACAGCGACATATAGATATCAACATTTTAGTATTTCAGTCAGCCACAATTATATTCTAATCTCAGCGCTTTTTGATAATTTTTGTTAGTGACCTGAAAATGTTACAAAAAATTTGCCTACCCCGCAAGTTGGAACTGGCGTAAATATACCGACAGTAGTCACAAACATCCAAAGAAACTACAGCAGCAGCTTACATCAGGGGCCTAATTGACCAATTTCAAAATCTATCGCAAGCGCTCTCGAAGGTAAAGCGATTTGTGGATTTATTTATCGTTTAAAAAGTCACAATCAATTTTGCAACCAAAGTTGATTGGAAAATGGAAATTTTTAATGGAGGTTTTAGTTTTTAGTGACCTAATTTTCACATTAAGAATTTGCAATTGAGTGACATGAATCAGTCCGTGATATCACGGCACACGATCCGTGATTTCACGACAAAATTCGTGAAGCGACTCCTGACTCACGATTTTTTTTAAATGTGGTCAGTGATTTTTTAGAAAAAAAAAATATTATACAAAATAAATTATAAAACTAACATAATATTGCATACTGATGATTTGAAGAACGCGTACAGCAAAACGCAGTGACATTGTCGACATACTTCTGTTCCGCTAAGAATATTATCACATCACAAACACTTCACATTACATTGCCACTAGCCAATGCCACTTTTGCCCGGGCCGTTGGTTCCGACGATGACCATGTATGGGGCTGTTAACTCCGACCGTCACAAGCGATATAACGTGAGAACTCACTCGAACAGCTTACATATCCAACATACAGTACTAGATAAAGAAACTATCGGTAGATAGTGTGTTTTAGAATTTTATCGATCGTGGAAAACTACTAACGAAAAAAATTACTAACCTACCTACATTATTGATATCGAATTGGAAGGTAAAATAAAATACCTTTAAAATATCTTATGAGGGTTTTATATTTTTAATTTCAAAGAAAATTATACTGCATACTGGGAAAATATATTACAGGTGTAGACAGTAAACGAAAATAAATAAATATTATTTGTAATTTTGAATTTATTTTTAGATATTAACTTAATATATGAATGATTTTCTTAATACACATTTTTTAGATATATTTTATTTTATTTTATAACTATAAAGAAATTGTCTGTTTCTCGTTGATATAAAGATATTTATTGTGGAAATAAATTTTAATTTAATTTATCCATAACATCATAAAAAAAAAATTAGGTAATCTTTATCTTCATTATTATGTAAAATAAAAATTATAACTCTTCCATAAAGTTACTGAAACTGGGTTTTTTACATATATCTTTACTTGGATATAATATATCTAAATTAAGTTTCCACCGGAACTTCTTGGCTAATGGTTGAACCATGATATAATCTCTCTGTGTACATTTATATTTACACAAAATTGCTAATCGACTGCGGCTTTCCAAAACTGTTCGTTTTTTCCAATCGATTATAGAACTTAATCCGCTGAAATTAAAGTTCAAAAGCAACTACATTTTTTCATTGTTACCTGTATGTCACGTATCTGTATAGCACGTCAGGTTATACAAATCTGTCAAATTTCTTAATTTGATTTTAGACGTTAACGCTTTGAGGGTAGAATTTAAAACCAACCGTAGTTGTGGTTGGTTGTAGTTGTTGCCGTGTGTGCTGTAGTCACAATGGAGCGTGAAACATATTAACAACAGAAGCGTCGCTTGTGTACCTACTCGCAGTCAACAAAAACTTACAAAGATAACACTAACTTATATTCTTTTTAGGAGGAATATAAATATAGAAAATTAGTGTAAAATACGTTAATGGTACACGAGCACGCGAAACGTGAAAAATTCGAGAAAAATTGTCTTCATCCAAATGTCACTTTTCTCGGGTTTTGAGTGAGATATCGTATTGGGCGTCCAGAAGTGAGATTTGGGTATAGGCAAAACGTTCTCGGGTTCCTTTTGCTACGCGTGCAGGTAATAAAAACTATCTCCTATTTCAATCAGGTATCAGGCGTTATCTTGCGGAAGTCCTTTGCCAGAGACAAGATTACAGGCCTGGCCGCATTGCCGTGTATACGTATAAAAAGTAGCCCCATATCAGCTATCATAATTTAGGAATTATCAGTATATTTTATGCAATTATTGTCCGCACATGATGGACAGATCTTGTGAAATCGATGACGTAGGCAACCGTGACTGAGAGCTCTCTCAACGCAGCGAACCGACAAAAATGTAAGGTTATTGAAAGATAAATAGTTCGGGTCAGGATGGCCGAAGAGTAAAGGGCCGGTATGCTTCCTGAACAACCATGAACACTCTGTTAAGAATGCACGATTAAGAAGAAGAATATCTGGCCACCCTATTGTCTATTGTGCCTTAGGGTAAATGCGCCACTGCCCATCTAGGTGAAATAATGTAACGACATCAAACAACTGTTAGTATATTTATGTACATATCGTAATATCTTGTTATTTTTGTATACTTTTGTAGTAAAGAACTACTACGGTGATGTGTCGTGTCATCAACGATTATTTCTTACTTACGACGAATTTCGTTTCAAGCACCTAATGTAGCATTTTTTTAAAAGTATTTTCTATTAAATAAATACAACATTGTAAATGCAATATTCAGTATATATCACAACAATAATATTAGTTCGAATAAACACTTCTTAGTTATTACAGTGTATAACTTTAATTAACTGCGCTGTAAGACGGTTAAAACTTTTTTAAGTTATCTAACAGCAAACTGGTAGTACCTAATAAGATCTAACGCAGATTATTTAACGGCAAAAGACTAGTTGATTGATAATATAACTCGGACTTGACTGGTTCATTTGATAAAGTTATCATTATGTAAATAATGCCGGTGCGAGGGCAAAGATATTGCGATCATATTCTCTAAAATTAAAATTTAAAATAATATGGTATATAAAAAAGTTTTCACTATAACCAATATAACTTATCTACTTTATTTTATTTTATTTAATCAAAGTTCATTTGCAAGTTGATAAAAGTTATACCTATTTTTAAGTTGACAAAGAATCCAAAAAGATATGACAATAATATCTTTCTTATCTTGTGAAATTTATTATAAATAGTTATGAGCTAAAACATTGCAATAAACTTTTCACCACAAATCATTTTGGCTAAGTAGTGGGGTCACATGAGTTTAAAGGTTAATCAAAACAAACTTCACACTAAGATCGCAGCGAGCGATGGCACTGTTATAATCAGCAGCGTCAGTAAGTAATCATTGAGTACAGAAGATTGAGGTAAAATTTTATATAAATATAATCGACATAAACGTATTAACGGTACGTTAGTGTCTATTTAAAAAACACTATTTTAAAAGTTGTTACGACATTGAAATGTCCCAAGATTTCAATAAGCGCATTTAGTATTATCGCCGCTCGCGTGCTACGCCGCACAGTGGTCCCGAAGAAATAAAACATGGACATTGAAGCTACAGCGACGAAAATTTTTTTGAACGTTAATACAGTGATAACATATAAGGCAAAAAAATATTATTACCCTGACACATATACTTTTCGGTAAAAAAAATATTTCGTTTTTTTTTGTATGGGAGAAATTACATTTTATTGATTTTCTCAAAAAATTTAAGCGATGTCAAGATGGTAATCACATATGTGACAAAACTAATTATTCTGAGTATTTCATTCGAAGAAACTTACTGCCTATCGCTGCGTACTTTGGAGATAATAAGCATCAAAATTCATGTATTTTGTAAATTCAAATTATAGTTTTGTACGCGTTAAATATATGAAAATGAGTTTTAAAATGGACTGTTTAGTAATAATAACGCAGGTTACACACCACTGTTAAGTATATATTCAAAAACATCTTGTTTTTACATTCAAAATGCTATATTTTTATGGATTATAGGTCCGCTGGCCAGAAATATGAAGCTTCGACGCGAGTTTGCCGGAATAACAATATGGCCGCCTTTCATGACGTATCATGACACGCTCTCGCACACGTCAGTATACAGCTAAACGTGATTGCGATTAGACGTGTTTCGTTTTCTGTACGCTTGGATAAATACCTCAGTTGTTAAATTGTTTGTTATATTATTGTTACTTGTTTTTGTTATTTTTTTAGAGTCTTTGGATTATTATAATTTGGTTCCGCTTCGTTAGGAGGAAGGTCTTATGGAAAAATTCTACCCCCTCATCAACAAACTACTGTCGTCCAATTGGTTTTATATTTGCCAAAGAATCAAATGATTTGATTAAGAAGGAGAGTGCTTCCATGGAGGTAAAAATACATAACCTTGTTCCTACAGTTGTAGACAATTTTGAGATAAGT